GAATGTATCCTCATCGAGCTCGTGTCAAACACTGACATGCTCGTAACACTGGAACCAAAACGTCGTAAACGAGAAGGCGACCATCCATGATCCGTCACGTTTTCTGGACCAGCGACCTCGTTCGGAACCTCGAGTTTGGTGTCATCTATATGCTCACCGAAAAATTGGCGCGCGCCCATGCGTGTTCACGCTCTCAGCCGATCCGCACCGCGATTTGTAGAGCGGAACTTTGCTCGCGCACGGCCGCTCACCAAGACCAACACAGCTTTCCACTGGGCGCTCGCGTATTTTGGGCTCGCGCAGGCACCAGTTCCCGCCCGGCCCGAGGTGACCTCGACGTACTGGACGCGACCTTTTCGGTGGCGCGCTTCGAGCACGTCCCAGCGTACGTCTTTGGCAACTCCTCCCGGTCATCTACACGCTAAAGATGGACGCCGCCGCCGTCGGCATCGCGACCTCACAACTCGATTGGCCCCAACCGCATGGCGTCATCTCTGGGGGGACCGCCTCGCCCACCTCTGGCATGGAGGACACCAACACGGTTGTTGCCCCCAAGTAGCTCGGTCTTGATTGAGGAAGTTCCGTTTCCAAGAAGTGGAAGAGGTTTTCCGCGCAAGGCCGAGCGTTCTAGAAGACCAAGATATGGAAGCACGTACACGTAACAAGACCCAGGCGCAGAGCAAGCGGCTCGAGCCATCCACGAATTTGTAGTATCAGTCAAAAGCTAACCCGCCTCGCCCACCTCTGGCATGGCGGACACCAACACGGTTGTTGCCCCCAAGTAGCTCAGTCTTGATTGAGGAATGTTGATTTATGGTAATAAACGTCATGCTTATCTCGAACTACATGTATCTATCTATCTATCTATCTATCTATCTATCTATCTATCTATCTATCTATCTATCTATCTATCTATCTATCTATCTACCTTTCTATCTACCTTTCTATCTACCTTTCTATGCACCACACACGGTACCACTTGCAAAATCATGCCCAAATGCTCCGAAATCAAGCATCTGGGTACGGGTACATGGATAGCTTCCGCGCTGCCTTGCGAGTTCGAGGCCGGAGCCGTGACGATATTATACAGAACACCAACGTATTGCAAATCAAAGTACGGCCCTTTCAAGTTGGGCTGCGGTAACTACAGCCCCTTCGGGCGGCCGGCGTCTGGGCACCAAGCCTCAGCGGGACTTCAGACGAGTTGATGTCAAGGTTTCCAAACTCAGATAATCTCGATGGTGAACCGACTCCGAGAAAGCAACAAGGTAATTCGACGTCAAGAAGATATGGGCCACCGCGGAGCTGCAAGTAAGGAAACAATTCTTAAAATCGTTTGCCAACCACTTCTCTGGTACCAGCTGGAGTAGGTCACGCCAAAAAAGGAGACGGCCGAAAGTCTCGTGGCCTGCTTGCTCGAGCCTTCAGTCTCTTTGCTACGACAGCAAACTGGTCTCGGCTGCTCGCCTGCACGCGGCACGTTCACAGCGTGGTGGCATCGTCACTTGCTCTTGCAGATGCAGGCATCGATCATTATGGTTACAAGTTATGGAACGCTGTGCAGGTACGCTCGTTTGGCACGGATGATGACCAGGATCAGGTTACAACTTGATGTCGACAAACTAACGAAGGCGCTTCAAAGCCGCAGCGACAGGAAGTGCACCGTCACTGGCAAGAAGTGACCGCAAAGGAATTCAGCAGTGGCATTCGACGATTGATGCCACCCTGTAAGCTGTACAGTGTGCAGAGGGATAGGTTGGCTGCCAATAATCGTCGACACCTTTGTCACACGACCCCAACAACGCCCTTCAAAATTGGATTTGGATGAGAGAAAAAGCTTCGTCGGGTGTAGAAATTCATTCGGGCTTGTCGCTTAGTGCAGGCCAATCGTTCAGGTCGTGGCAGCTTACCACTTGTTGCGCAACTCGTTCGTGAAGAGCGAAACGAGCTCGACCCACGCCTGCGTGAAAGGATACTTGGCAAGAATGTCCTTGCCGATAACCTTGACGCGCTCAAACACAACTGCGTCTTCCTTGGAAGGCTTGGCACCGTTCAAAAAGTTGGTTTGCGCGCCCTGGAGCTTGGCCTCGACAGATTCGATGGTAAAGTTGGCCGCCGTGATCGCGCCCGATGCCGGCTTGGCGACTTGCTCATCCGGCTTCATGGCCGGGAACAACAGCACTTCCTTGATGTTGAACTTGTTGGTCAAGAACATCGCAATGCGGTCGACGCCGCAGCCCCAGCCACCCGTCGGCGGAAGGCCGTACTCCATAGCCGTGCAGAACGACTCATCGTGGGGTTGAGCTTCGTCATCGCCAGCCGCGGCTTGGCCCATTTGCTCCACAAACCGTTCGCGCTGAACCCTACGGTGATGGAAGACATATGTGAGCAAAACGGCAATGCACATCAGGTGGAAACGCACACTGGGTTGTTGAGCTCCGTGTACGCGTTACAGATCTCCGAGCCGGCAAAGAACATTTCGAAGCGCTCCGTGAGGCCGGGCATCGACCGGTGGTACTTGGCGAGCGGGCTCATGACCGTCGGGTGGTCCATGATGAAGAACGGCTTCTTCCAGTTTTCCTAAAGCCCAATGACGCAGATAAGACACCGATTGATAGGAAGATGAGCAACGTACGCGGTTGTCTTCGATGAAGTGCGCCACGAGCTTGTCGAGAAGACGCGCAAGCGAACGCGGCGGAGCGCACTCGAGGTCGTATTTCTTGACGAGCGTCTCGAGGACGGCGACGCACTTCTCGGGCTCGTTGATCGGGATCTTGGTACCGGTGGCCTCCTCAATGGCGCTGACCATCGAGATGCGCTTGTACGGGGGCGAGAAATCGATCGTGATCTCTTCACCATCCTTCTCGATCGTGATCGTTTGCCCGCCAGTGATCTCCTGAACCATGCCGGAGAACATCTTCTCCGTCATGTCCATGATATCGTTGTAGTCTGCGTACGCCTGGTAAAACTCGCAGCTCGTGAATTCCGGGTTGTGCGTCAAGTCGATGCCTTCGTTGCGGAACTGGCGGCCGATCTCGTACACGCGGTCGAGGCCACCGATGATGAGCTGCTTCAAGTAGAGCTCCGGAGCGACGCGCATGAAGAGGTTCATGTGCAAGTCGTTGTGGTACGTCACAAACGGCTTGGCCGTCGCACCGCCGACGATCATGTTCATCATTGGCGTCTCGACCTCGAGGAACTGGCGCGCATCAAGGAAGCGGCGAATGTAGTTGATGACCTTGGAGCGCGTAGTGAAGACCTTGCGCGTTTCGTCGTTCAAGATCAAATCCAAGTAGCTACGAAATAATCAATATATGAGACCGAGCAAGAACGAAGTACCGCTGGCGGAAGCGAGTGTCCTGGTTCGAGAGACCGTAGTGGGCCTTCGGGAGCATGTGCATGCACGGCGAGAGGAGCACAATCGACTGCGGGAAGATAGAGAGCTCGCCCTTCTTGGACTTGCCCGGGAAACCCGTGATGCCAACAAGATCGCCGCGGCGAAGCGACGCGTGGATACGAGCGTATGCTTCCGCGTTCACGTACGTGTCAATGCTCGACATGACCTGGATGCTGGCCCCGTCAGCATTGAGACCGTAAAAGTGAAGCTTGGCACCACTCGCACGCTTGCTCATCAAGCGACCGGCGACCGACACGAGCTCAGTGGCAATGTGTGCCCCGGCCTCACAGCCGTGGTACTTGGCGACGAAGTCCGGGACGGAAGACGTGACTTGGAACTTGTGCGGATAAGGGTTGATGCCATCGGCTTCAAGCTCGGCGAGGAGTTTCGTGCGGTTGTCGAAGTACGCGGTTGGGTCCAGCTCGTCGTCCGCTTCGGTGGTCGTCTTCTTGGCAGCCGTTGGCGCCTTGGCGGCCTTGGCAGCTTCCTTCTCGGCCTTGGCTGCGGCAGCCTTGGCGGCCTTTTCGCGGCGCTTGAGTTCGTTCTTGCTGAGCTTTTCCTCGCCAGCAGGAGGCGGGATGGCAGTGGCAGCGGCTTCAGAGCTCATCGTGTCGACTGGACGGGATTTCCTGAAATAAGCAGTCACGCGAAACCTCAGCTCTCGCACCTGATTGGCCAAAATGCCTTTGAAATCCAAAAATGCGTGGCTCGGCACTTTTTGTCATTGCCAGTCGATTGCGCACACCACTCAGGTGCTTAAAACTTAAAAATGCACCTGATAACCTTAACATGGCCAGAAACACCACATAATGACATAATTTATATCGTTACAAGGCAGCAAACGCAATACAAGTTTTGGTGTTTTTAGACTCTCTCATATATAGGCAATCTGGTGCTCTTTTGAAAGCTTCAACTTGAGAATAAGTGCTGGTGCAAATTGTATCCACAAGAATGCGCCAGTGCGGGAGGGATGGGCCACCGCGATCGTCTTGCGGACCCGCTGCCGGACGAGCTTCAGAAATTCTTGGAGGACGCACACGCCAGCCCGACGCAAACGAGCGAGCTCACCTCTGCATTGTGGTACTCGGATTGACCCATGTAACTGTAATCCTTGTGCAAAGTCAGGGGCGATCTTGGCATCTCTTATGACACATTACGCTTCGCACGGCAATTAACTAAGCTAGGCCTGATTTGCATTGAGGACCAAACTATGTTTGTGTCGGTGTACGAAGGTGCGGTGCCGACAGCATTCAAATGACAGCCATCTCGTCTCGAAAATGAAAACGAAAGAATGCATGTTAATTGCTCATAAAGTGAGTGGTGTCGTTGCGCCAAGTCCTGGGAGGTCTGTGTTTAGAGGGAGTGGTGGCCGCTAATGTCGATAGCGTCGGCGTCATCAGCGCCCCTCGCGACGCTGGCTTTGTAGCAAATGATCTTGGCACGAGTCCACGAGAAGGTGTTATCCCAGCAGAGCACAGCTACGCCTGCGCCGGGAGCCGTCCACGATCCTGCTTCGACTTGGCCGTGGACGAAACGAGTCTTGTCCCAGCCATCGACCGTGTGTTCTTCGGCGCCACCGTCACCTTGCGTCCGAAACTTGATCGTGAAGTCCACATCGTATGCAAACACTGAAAACTCCCAGCACACTGTATCGTTGGCGTTGACTCGAAAAGGGACTTGAAGCACATCACGGGAGCGAATCTCGGCCTCGGTCGCCCCATTTTCGCGGAGCGCACCATAAGAGTCTTTCCCGAGGAGACCCGAGGAAGGCACGACAACACTCGTGTTCGTGCCGCCTATAAGGGGTAAGTATCTCTCCGTCCCACAAATTGGCTGCACACCCATGAGCTCGGGCAGCTTCTCCGGAGGGCATATGTTGTATAGCTGTTCTTTTTCGCCGCGCTTAAGGAACTCGATTTTTTCCCGCTGGGTGTCGTTGAGCCAAAGCTTGATACCCTTCCAGACAGTTTGGAACACCCACTACGGAGAGTATTGTGCATACTGTAGAACGAAACAAGGAAGATGTCAGTCTCACCGGTGTGTTGAGAAAAAGAGTCCTCTGCACCATCTCGGGGTAGCATGCAGACGCAAGAGATACGATGTTCTGTGCGCGGCTCAGTGCTGGACGTGAAATGCGCGTGAGCGAGAATCCATCGAGGTCCCGAATCACGTTGCAGCGGACCATCGTCCGGTGCTCGACGCTGAGCTTGTCCAGTGTCAGAGCTCGGTGTTCCATTTCATGGAGCGAGTAGGCAAGCCACTCATCGTCCGAAACGTTCACCATGAGCCCATAGATGTCATAAGCTCCAATTTTCTCGAAGCAGTACACGTTGTGACTGGAGTCCACGACGTCGTAAGCCGTCACTGCCGGCATGTAGCGCCTACATACATAACCACACTTGACCCTTATGAAGAAGTGCAATAAACCAACTTGATCTTTTCATAATATGGGAAGTCGACGACGGTCATGTTGCCGAGTACGATGTTGTCTCGAATTTGGTCCATGTTGTGCTTTTGTCTCAATGCAAGCATGGCAGAGTAGCGCTCGGCAGCCTAAAAATGCCAGACATATCACCAAACAGTTGTAGTACTAACAAACCTACCAAGGTCACATTGCCTTTGTGTCCGCGAAGGAAGCGCAACAGACCCACGTTTCGCATTGCGTCGGCCTCGGGTCCACACGGGAGCAGATCATCTCTCAGGCGTATTTGAAGTTCTACAAAAGTGTGACTCGTGGCGTTGCTTGCTAAAATGCTTCATATACCGTAGAGGGACTTCATCTCTTGCTCTGGATTCGCAGAGGCGACAGGGAGCTCCGGCAGGACCGTCGGAATCGGCTTTGGGGGCGACGTTGTTGGAGACACGGGGGCTGCATTTGTGTCAAGGGCCATCGGCTCCGTGAACTCGGTGACTTCGCGCGAGGCTTCAGTGGAGTACAAAAACGACGAGCTTGCTGCCTTGGGTGTATCGTTCATGCGACGCACGCGCTCGAGCTCCATCAAGCTGATAGCGTTGGACTGCTCTGTCACACGCGTCACGTGATCTCGCAGCTTTTGGTCTCCATGTTCCTTTTGCAATGCTTACAACGACGAATGACGGCTGCGGAATACCTTGACTCGACGTGTTCGCTCAGCTTCAGCGAGTTGAACAGCATCCTCAATGGACTTGCGTCGGTCCAAATGGGATTGCAACTTTCATAATCTAGAGTAAGCCCATGTGGGACAAGGTCGTATTTTACCTCTGCCACGTTGTTACGACTCATGCGCCTGATGCGCTCCGTCTCCGAAGCAACCAAGACCTCTTTCTTGGACTGCTCCCGATGCATTTCATTGTGCACCTGTCGTATTAAAATGGATCAAACATTCGAAATGTAGAGCAGCTCACCTGCGCCATTTGCTCTTGGCTGATGCGACGTGTGCGCTCCGCTTCCATCAGCTCCACGGCTTCTTTTTTGGCGTTTTCGCGGCACATTTCGCTGTGCACCTGGTTGTAGATAAGTTTTGCATTCTTGTTTTCAGACGCCGTACCCGAGTAAGGTTATCTTCGCTCATGCGGCGGCAACGCTCCTCTTCCATCAAGAGGATGACTTCGTTCTTGGAAGTCTCTCGGATCATTTCGCTGTGAACCTACTAAATATTCTATACCGCAGCGTTCCCCAATGGCTTTTACCTCGGCCAGGTTCTGATGGCTCACACGCCGGATGCGTTCCGTCTCCATCGCAGCAACAGCGTACTCGATATTGATTTCGCGCAGAATCTTGGACTCTTGCTACATAAAATGTGTTCACTTTCGCGTCGAAACACAACAACACCTACGTCGCTCGCCGCATGTTCTTGGACGCGTCGAGAACGCTCATCCTCGGCCGCTGTCTTCACCCTATCGCACCAGAACCAGCGTTAGCGACCTCTGCCATGTAGCGGGATTGTACATCTTCACGTTGCGGCGGATATCGTCGGCCTCCTCGGGCACAGGATATGGGGTCGCGTCCGACGTGAGGTTCGCCGGGCGAGTCTCCATCGTGGGGCAAATCTCGAAATGTCTGAGAGGGTTGTTGACCGTTTCACGTTTCTCCGGTTAGCCTAATTGCAGGCTTCAAGTAGGATCCTGCCTAATCGGACGGAGCTCATCCGGATAAGATCCAATTGGGATTCCAAGCCAACCAAATTGAGCTCATTTGCCGTCCCGCGCTCGTGACACCATGGCGACGACTCCGATTGCAGGCATTGCGCAGCTCCAGCACCGACTCGCAGAGCTGGCTCCCAAGCTTGCACCGCAGCCGATGCCCAAGTTCCAGCCAACGCATTCGAAGGCGACGGTCGGCAAGACTGCTCATGTCGCTCGCGGTCTGGACCTTCTCATGCTGATGTGTGCGACCCAAGCGCAGAAGGAAGAGGTGCTGGAGCTTGTTCAAAAGTTCAACAAGTCTCCCGAGTCGGACGAAATCGCAATCCTCGGCGCATTTGACGCAGCCACCAATGCCTTCAACCTCACGAAGGCCACCTATTTAAGCGAAACGCCCATGCTCGTGCACAACTTTGTCGAGCTCGTTGAGCTGCAAGTCGAAGACCCCGAGGCGGCTGCAGAGGCCATTGACGCACTGCTTGCAACCAACGGCCATGACGTGTCGGAACGTTCCATTGCCGAAGAGTGCTTGTCCGTCGCATATGCTCTGCACACGCTTCTCCGGTATTTATCGACGTCATGTGCATTGCTTCCTATTGAACGTATGGGTTGTGTAGCGCGTTCCCGAGCATTCCATTTACCATCCAAGGCTCGCCCGTAGAGATCAACGAAACTACTGAAGTCCTCCCGCTCTTCCTACCCCTTTTTGCTGCCCCCGAGAAGACTAAGGCGGTGCATACGAAGAGCAAGACCGCGACCAAGAAACGCAAGCAGCGCGTATAATTGTTCCAATATCTAAAGCCTCAGCATTTACTCGTTGATCAAGTGTATGGTGCTTGGCGGGCAGTTTCAACGCTCTACAGTCAAAGCCGTCCCTTCAAACGAGGATCGAGCGACATGATCGAGCGATGGAAGTCCGTGCAGCCGACACGGTGGGATCAATTCGCCCCGAAGCCGAAAAGCTCTCTCTCCGTCCAGCGAACAAGAATCTGTAGGCGCGTATCTTGAGATAATAGTATGTACGCACTGGATGACATAGCGTCGAGCGGGCGGCCGAAGATGAGCGACAGCGCCGCCTCCATGTGCATAAGGATGAAGACGACTAAGTCGCTGTCGTTCGTGAAATCAACATCAAATACGCGGTGTTTGTCATGGAGGCCGAACGTCAACGACGCATTTGCCATGACACCTTGACAAAGGTAATGAATGAATACTAGTACTCATGATGTAGGGAAACCTGACAAAACGGATCGCTCTGACGTAGGTGCACGAACAACTGCTGCGCGCAAATTCAATCAAGGAGGTGATGGAACTCGTTGAAACAGAGCGATCGCACCGCGTCAGTGCTGATCGGCTCACTCAGGCACGTTCCGTGTCATACGCAGCACTAATCCTTATGATGCGCGAATACAGGTTCACCGCGAGCTTGGAGTAACGTCATCCAAGAAGGGCGTTGTCAATCAAATGGAGGCTCGGTGCATTCGCCGCATGAGCTAAGAGAGCATCACAAGTGTTCACAGCGAGCTGTTGCGCGCGAAGGCGCAAAAAGACCTTGTTCTTGATAGTGAAACCGAGCGCCGAATGCGTCAAGACGCCCAGGGTGTTCAGTGAGCCGCAGCTACTTGTAGCTGAATTGCATGCATGCTTCCGAGAAACATGTCATTTACCAACCTGTTCGATTGACTGTGAAGTGTGGCGCCGAGAATTGATTCCCAGGAAGGTGCATATATACGCTTCAAACGTCACGCCGCAACAATAGAAACCCGATGGACCTCGATGGTATTTATTACTAGTACTGGGTACTAGTCATAAATACCATCGAAGATGTTGTCACTTATAAGAGCTTTTGTCCGGCCGTCGTCGTGCGTGACACAGAGTACAACTTCATTTCTAATCATCCATAAAGAGTTCTCAGCCCTGCCTTGCTTGTTTTGCGCCCCTTTGAAAGGCAGGTTCAGAGACACGAGGCGATGAGACCGGCAAGGGAAATGAAGCGGTGTTGAACTTGGCCATCTCGATTAAGTGCGCGAATGCACCAGCAGCGTCATTCAAACATCAACATCACCTGGGGTTTCAAATAAGTACGGGCGAATGCACAGTTAACGTTACTGGCAGATACATCTTCGTTGAGCATGGGCGCGCTGATTAGCCAGCTCGTGTTCCAGCCGCCGCCAGCGACATACACGAGCTGTCGCCGCTACACCATGCTAGCGACAGCACTGCACAACCGCATTGCGTCCTTCTACATCAAGAATGAGTGCGTATTTAGGCTGTAGGGCGACCTATGGAGGCTCACGATACTTCCAAAGGCGCGCGAAGTACACGCTGCTCTTTGCCCACGGCAACGCTGAGGACCTTGGCATGATCTACGAGTGGTTTCGCGAAGTGAGCCGCCGTCTGCAGGTCGGAACTGAATCGATCGCAAAGATCGTACTACGTATTGTAGGTCAACGTGATGGCATTCGACTACACCGGGTATGGCATCAGCGTTGGCGAGCCGTCAGAGGATGCATGCATTGCTGACATTGAAGCCGCGTTTGCGTACCTCGTTGATGTCAAGAAGACGCCTCCCCACCTTATATTATTGTGCGCACTGCATAGTGGGCAATTGAGCAGGGCGTAACGCGATCTAGATACGGCCGGTCGCTCGGCACGGGACCGACGACATATCTTGCGGCAAAGCAATCCAAGCTGAAGCAACCTGTCGCAGGTGTCATTTTGCAGGTAAGACCGTGCTTCTGTAAGATCGGCTCATCGTTGTGTGCGTCCTAGAGCCCTCTTCTCTCCATCTACCGCGTGGCGTTCCAGTTCCGGTTCTCGCTCCCAGGCGACATGTTCTGCAATATTAATCGCGCACCCGAGATTGCGTCACCAATTACCATTATCCATGGCACGCGGGACGAAGTCATTCCGTTCTGGCACGGCGAGGTAGACGGCAAGGCTTATGCACGACTCGGAGACATCGTTATGCATAGGAACTCTTTTTAGCATGCAACCCCGCGTGGCGATCGAAGCCGCTTTGGGTCCACGATGCGGGGCACAACAATATCGAAGTGTTTTTAAGGTACAGCCTCACCTGCTCATGGTGACTCAAGGACACACGTAGTGCTTTTGGCGACGGTTTCTTCCAGCACCTGCGGAACTTTGTGCACTTGTGCAACGAAGTCGCGACGATTCGTGCATCAGAGGCGACAAGTAGTGCACAGGAAATGGCTGCTTCGCATGTCCAAACTATGCTCACTAGTATCTAAGCCGTCGAGTTTCAGAGCTAGCTAGGTAATCTGACTCGAATTTATGGTACATGTATTCGAGCATGCCCTTGCACGAGAACTAGCTTATCGGTGGTGTGCCGAACGCGTGTGGCGAAGTGCTTGCGGCGTTGGGACTTGATTTTCTTGGAGCATCTCGCTGCTGAGGCGCTTGCGCGGTGTGGACAACTTGCCCTTGATGAGGTTGCTGCCAATATTGGCATCCGAAAGCGCCAAGCTCTTGCGCGGGACCTTGCGCTCGGTCAGCTGCTTCCTGAGCTTCTCGATCGTGGACTCGTGTGTCTCGAGCTTCGAGGCTTGCGAAGCAACTTGGGCTTCGAGGAAGTCAACGGTGCTCGCTTGCTCCATGATTAAGCCCTGAAGAATGGTACATGCCATGTCGCTGCCGAGCTTGCCGTCTGACATCTCCTTAAAAAGGAAGTGCTCTGTGGTGCTGTGAAGTGCGCTGAGAGCTGCCGGCAAGATTGGGAGGTTCGTTGCGATCGACCAGATGCGTAGCACCGCGGAGCGAGGGAGCAAGTACGGGCTCTCTTGCTCCATGGTGCTGACAGCATATGCATCATCTTCGCTGATACGGAGGATTCCCTCCTCGTCGACCCATAGAGCATCTTCTGAGGCGAAGGCAGCGGCGTTTAGCAAGTCACCTGCCACTTCGCCGTCCGAGAAGTCGCCGTCGCCAAAGTCTTCGTCTCGGCCAAGCGTCTCTTCGACATGGCGGTCGAGTTCGTCATCTTCGTCGCTGCCGTCGTCACTTCCTGAAGTGCTCGCGCCATCGTCGCTTCCTGAAGCGCTCGCGCCATCGTCGTCGTCGTCGCTGTTGTTGTCGCCATGGGCAGTGCTCTTCTCGGGCTTGTCTTCACCAGCGTCAAAACCGTAGATGGCCATTCGAGGATCAATGCAGCGAATGGCAGCGCGAATGTCTTTGGCCATGAAGCTCATGCGGTGGTCGCTTTCCATGGCGGCTTGCGCCAGCGGCTGCAATTTGCACACGTGTGAGACGAAGCAGGCGCGAGCTTGGCGTAGGGTCTCGTCCGTCGCGAGGTAGATGCCAGCGCGAACGAAGAAGCGGCGCACCTCATGCAGCGCAACGCACTCTTCCATGTTGGCGACGTCGACGTCGCGGAAGCGGTCCAAGATGACCATGCCTCGTGTCCAATACCAGAATGTGTTTCACCGCGTTAATTTGGCCCAGTTAATAAAAAAGACCTTGCCAGTCTACATACAACAACTATATGATATTTTTATTTCCTTGCCGCCAAAAACGCATGGCCGATTCAAATGTTTGGCGCGAGAGAGCATTCTCCCGTCATGGGTCAATAATAGAGATAGTGAGTGACCCATGCTCCCGTTGACATGCCCGTATCCGAGAGGCGGCTCTTACTGCGGCTAAGACTCTACGTCTCGCTGGCACAAGAGCAAGGCTTCTCTCGAGACCTTGCAACCTTGTACTATAGTTTAGCACCGTTTCCAAACGCTAGCCGCACGGCCACTCAGGCAACGCGGCTGCCTCCTGCTCCCTGATGATGCCACCGCTTCATGGCTCTTGTTCCATAATTCTACAGTGTCCAAGACTCCACAAGCAAACCGCCTGTGGCAAGAACGCAGCAAGAAACAGCCACGACGCTGTGTCGACTTCGTTGTACGCGTGCAGATGCTGTCGCCATTACACGAGCCACAATCCAGTGAACTACATAGTAACCGCCACACGACAAGGCCGGCTATTCCGGAGATTGAGCCACACACGGTGGAGTACCGATGCGGTGCCTGTTCGAGATCAGCACTTGTTTTCCATCGTTTGGCAGCAACCATGTGAAGTCGTGCGGCTTTCTATCAATATTCGGGATGCTGCGTTACCGATCGTTCTACACCACGAACTCCAGTCCCTGACGCCGCCTTTCGTCGCTGGCCACAGCAAACTGCGTAACTTTGCCCTCGATCGCAACGCCTGGAAAGACTTCACGGAGATTATCGACATAAGCTTGATTCATGGCCGAAAGCGCCCTTGAACGTCTACCTGAGACTAATACGAGCCACGCTCATCACAGGATACGTGGAGCTACTAGTATAGGTGGCCACACTGCCACCACAGCCCGGCGAGAGGATAAACAAAGAATTGGCTCGTCTCTACGTATTATAATATAATCAAGTCTTCAAAACAACGAAGACAACACGAACCATGCTCTGTTATCTTCGTTGGTTTAAAGACTTGTCATGCGTACTGAGTAGACTAGTTCTGCTGGTTTGTCAAATTACTCTGCCAAAAAGGATGAGTGGAAAGGGGTTTGGGCACGACAATCTAGGTACGACTGCACAAGAACAAATGCGCCGTACGATACCGGCATCTAATAGCTCATCTAATGCGATCCCTCGTGAGAAGCCGCCTCGAACGACCAGCAATATGGCCGCCATTTTCTCAGCAAGAACTCGTTGGGATTCCTTTGCGCGACAAGGCGGCCATTGCCATCGCACAATCAAGCCGCCTCAGCTTGAAGTTGCGTGATTTTACTTGATTCAGGCCCCTCCCCCCATATCTTTATTTTTGGGTCCCCTACTAGTCCTACTTTTTTGTTACTGTTCAATACTGCGGCCAAGTTTTGAATTTTGATGTCGTTTGCGCCTTACCGGTACCCCATGGAAGGGCCTCGAACAGGGAACGGCACGACATGGCAAGTGACACTGTATTGCTTTGAGTTTGAGCTGTCGCATACAAACAGCAAGGTACAATTGGCGCCAACTTGAGATTGAGACGCAAAAACAAGGAGATCCAAAAATTACCGTGGAAGAAGAATGCGAGTTCCATTTCGAGATTTGCCATGAGCAGTCCACGCCCCGTGGCAGCCGAGAACGAGACGCGAGCCGTCGCCCGTGACGTCATGGAAGACTCAAGCAGCGAGCACGACAGTGCCGACGAATACGACATCTTGTATCCGGACCCGCGCGGCCGAGACATCATGGACAACAGCGCGTTCTTGGCCGACTGGATTCCGGACGTGCCCATGGACACGACGTTGGCCTTTACGTCGAGCCTGCCCGTGCAAGTAACCGTTCAAGTGGCCTCGTCCTTGGTGCGTCGCGTGACGTACTGTCGATTCAACTGGAAGACCGAGACGTTGCGCTCATTTCTCGAGGTGCTGTGCTGGACGAGCGTCACTGGCGTCGCGTACAGCTTACACCGCGACTGGCTCTGGGCCGCTCAGATTGGCTTTCTCTTTGGCCTCGTCATGTCGCTCTGCGATGAAGTTTGCATCACGGGGGCTCGTTTGCTCTTGCATCGGATCGTCGCACACCCCGACGCTCGTTCGCTTCTGCAGCGGGCGGGTTTCGACGTCGCAACGCACAAGCGGCCGTCGGGCATTGGCAGCGACGAAGCCGTCGCTATCAAGAACGTCGTATTCGGTGCCATGGCACTCGAGACCGTCCATCAACTGTACCTGAGTACGTCTGAAAACATCCAGTCGTTTGCTATCCTCTCTGCAACGATGGGCGTGGCGTTCGTTCTCATGGGCGAGGTCTTTTGCCTCTGGCTCCCAACTCGGCGACTTGGACTCACGGTCCAAGCACGCTGGACGCGTATCCCCAAGAACTGGCAGGTCCACTTTCAACGATCCCTTCTCGAAATCACGTGCTGGGTCGCATGCCTCTCGTATGTCTACTCGACAACGGCGAGTCTCTACAGCACTATCGGCTGGAGCTCGCTGCTCGGTAGCGCCCTCTGCATCGTTGGTGGTCTCGACCCGCTCGAGCACGACGCGAACGAGAGTGAAGATGACGAGCTGTCGTCGTACTGGTCGGCGTGGGGCGCTAGCAATGTGTTTGTGGACAGCGCCAACGCGATTGTCCGACTCCAAGCCTCGTTGCAGCAAGCGCATTCATAATAGCACGTTCTTGGCATACATTCTTACCCGTATATCAATACTCTATTGTGTGGCTTTCTTCGTTTTGGCCTTGGGCGTTTGCACTTCGTGCATGAGCGTCTCGGCAGACTTGGGCGTAACGACAAGGCCGTCCTCGACATCTAGCGCGCCACGAAGGCCAGTGTGATAGGCGCTCGCGACGACACCGACGCAGGCACCGAGGTACACGAGGTAGTGGGCGCTGCACGTGACGATCGCAAGCCCGAGGCCGCCAAAGAGGACGAGCCAAAGAAGCGAGCATACGCTGCGGTGCGCGACGACTGTTTCGTGCATCATGTGCATGTACTCGCGGAATTGACGGCGCTCCTGGTGTGCGATCTCACCACCGCCGCACTCGGTGCACACGCGACTGCAAAAGTCGCAGTAGTCGACGCTGCTCGAGAAACGGGCGCCGCAGTCGCACGCCACGACGCGGAACGTCGGCCCGACAATCACACTGCCGATGCGCACAGTCTCAGACGTCGTCGCTTGCATGAAGACCGCGCCGACACCGCCGTCTTCGACAAAGCAACTGTTGCAGGCGTCGGGCGTCGATGTCGTCGGCGTCTCGAGCGTCGCTCCGTGCATGCGGCCAAACATCGCAGCGGGAGGCAGTGGGAAGTAGTACTTGCGGGCGAGGAGCACGTGGCGCAAACACGGGCCAAGCAGCAGCACAAACCACACAACTGTGCTCAGAAAACCGAGTTCGATTGCGCGCGGAAACCGGACCACATCGACAAAGTACACCGCATCGCCGAGCCAGCAAGGGAAGACGGCGGCGTAGATGGCAAATACCGTCGATTGATACGCGGCGAGCCCGGGCGACCGGCTTGGCAGCAGGAGCAGCGAGATCCACGCCAGCACATGTGTCCCAAGCGTGCTGAGGCAAACAAGCGCTAGCTCTCGAGAGACATCGAGCGACAAACCGTATACGCCGTGGGCGACGCCAAAGACGATCATGATCACTGCCGTACTAAGAACGGCCGGCGTGAAAAGAGTGCTGCAGCGCGCAGCCGAGTATGTGAACGGACGGAGGACGCGGCCGAGCGTCTGCGAGAGGCAGAAGACGCATCCCAAGACGTACAAGTAGACGTAGCTGTAGCACAGAATGCTTTCAATCGCGTCCATGTAGTAGAGGCTGAGCAATGCGGCGGCGAGGCCCGCGCCAATGGCTGGCGACGGTACGTCTATTGCCCTGGCGTGCTGAAGGGGGTAGCACCAGTGCTGCGTCGGCGCAAGAAGCGTGGTAAATGTAGCTGTGTCGGCGACTTGTAGCTGCCAGCGCTCGAGCTGCGTGGCCAAGATCGCGACCGAGATTCCAAAGAGCACTGGAAAGACGAGAATGTAGTGGGTTCGACTCAAGTCCGAAAGTACAAGGGGTGTCCACGTCGGGTACATATCGCGCTCGGACGTAGCAAACCCCGGCACGGTCAAAGACGGCGGCGCCTCGTCAAGAAGCGATCGGTGCAAAATGTCGTATCGCACCTGGCGACGAGCGACAATGCGGCGAGCCGTCGGGTCGATGAGGGCATGGAGAGCGGATGTGATCGTCTGCAGCAGCTCATGGCACCACAAAAGACACAGATGGTCCATGGAAGTTTGCACGGACGGCATCGCCGACGTGAGGAGGGCAAGGCCATGCGACGGCGGCAGAAGAGACTCGAGCGACGCCAGTGACGAGTGAATCACGAGGTCCCTATGTCCCCCCGCGATCGATACAACGACGACGTCTTCAAAGACCGTGTTGGTGCACGCCGACTCGTTGCAAGAATTCGCGAAGGCACGCCACGCGTTGTTCATCGAGGCGTACACATTTGCCATCTTGCTGTCCAGTGGAAACGGCGGTTGCATGTGCGGCGTCGAGAGCGTCACCATGGTCAAGATGGAGCTCGGCATGTAGTTGGGTAGCGTCATAGCCGTGCGCACGGCAATGCCGCCCATCGAGTGTGCCAGAACAATCACAGACGTCGGGCGTAGCGCAGCATCGAGATGGGCGTACTGTCGCAGGATCTCCTTGATGGCTTCGTTGATAAAGTAGCCTTGCTCGGCCATAAAGTGCCCCGTCAAGCCCGTCGCCTCTTCGTTAAAGTCCACAAGAAAGAAATCGATACCAGCCTTGATGTCGCCGTGGCTGCGGTAAAGCTCATGAAAGTGCTGACCGTACGACCGCGCCTGCTTGTAGCTGGCGAGGTGTCCAGGTACAAAGAGCAGTGGCACGCCGCTGACGAGCTTTTGTCCGAGACGAGCGTCATCAGCCACGTGCAGCATCGAGAAGGTGTACTTGGCGTGCGTGTGCTGCATGGCGGTGTCCGTCGCCGGTGGCATTGGCAGCGCCGTGAAGACGGGTGACGAGTACGTCATGCCACACGTATTCTTGAGGCGCGCCGTCGCATAGAGGTCCACGAAGAAGAGCACGGAGAAGATGACGAAGACGGCGACGGCGACGCCCACTGAAGCCGGAGCGCCCCACGACCGCGCTGGTGCCATCCGAGGACGTTTTTTCAACGACGGGCTGCGTGAGGATTGCATGGTCGCTATTGATTGGATAAAATCCCCGCCTGCACATTTAGCGACTCGCCCAATAAGATGACGTCTGCCACGACCGACATGAGCTCACACAAGCAGAGGTCTGCGCCGACAAATCCCGAGGTGTACGTGGCTCAACATTAGCCATACACTGCCTGGCAAACTTGACAGCGGGATCATATTAGGACGGGTCATCGGCTTCGACGCGCGCGTCGACTACCTCAGGGTCGTCGTCCTCATCATCAGGGAAGAACTGACCCATCCGATGGTACACGGCCCACTTGGCCTGCGCCCGCGGCTGCGTATATGCCCGACAGAGGACTTTCTCCTGGTCTAGGGCCTTCTGGACCATTGCGGACGCAAACGCAGCGCGCTTTGTCGCGCGCGACGCTGCTTCAAGCCCGTTCGCCGTCGCGATCTTCTCACGCACGAGCGTCTGCAGCGCGGCGGCTTGGACATGCTCTTCGTATGAAAGCCGACGTTCATAGGCATCGCGACGGCGGCGACTTCTGTCCAATGCGGCCGCCATGTCCACAGAGTACTTGGCCGCCACGTCCGCGCGGTGTGCTTCATCCGTCAAACGCGCAGCAACGCCGCGCTCGATGCGCTGCTCTTCGAGTCGCTCCTCTTGAGTTGCTTCTTCCTTCCTGACATTCTCCGGGACATCATCGACGAGGACTGGGTGTCCGAGGTACTTGAACTCGAAGAAAGCAGCTTTTACAGGCTTGGCGAACCGCAGCTGCCATCGCGGACCAACATCGTTTTGCACTGCACCAACAAACGCACTGACCGAGAAGCCGTGGTCCAGAATCGCGGCGCTATGCTCGTGCCAAACGCGGAGCACAGACGGATAAAAGACGGCGTGGTCTGCGACCCACTCGAGCGCTTCGGCCGGCGAGTATCCGCGTGCAAAGCTCGCGCCGTAAGCGTCCTGTAGCCGCCACCGACTGCACCATTTCTCTGGCAGTGCCGACAGCGGGTTCTGCGCGACGTGCAGCACCTAACAAAAATTGACAAACTGCTACACTGCGCAAAGCACCTCGAGCGTCGGTAGCAGCGCACTCAGCTCGATGGGCAATGCGCGAAGTCGATTGTTGTGCACGTCGAGCGTCAGGAGACTCGTGAGCTGCGCTACCTCGGCAGGGAGGTGCTGCAGCTCGTTGCTACCGAGAAAAAGACACTCGACGACGGGCAGTGTGCAAAGCACCACATCGACATGGACAAGTGCGTTGTGCGAGAGATCCAGGTACTTGAGCGCTCTCCAGTCGGCGATCGTGTCTGGCAGCGGCGATCGCAGTCGATTGCGGCTCAATACACACGACTCGAGGGCCATCCACATACCGACGCTTTCTGGGAGCGTTTCGAGGTCGTTCTCACTTATGTCGATGGTCAAAAGTGCGTGGCAGTACCCGACGTGCACGGGCAGCTCGCGAAGGCTGTTGCGGGCCAAGTTCAGGTGACACAAGCTCCGGAGTGCGCCAAACTCGAGCGGGAGTGACGAAAGCAGGTTGTTGCGGATGCGGAGCGTGTGCAACTTGGCAAGGCACCCAATAGTTGTCGGTAGTGAGACAATACTGTTGTGACTCAAGTCGAGAACCTCGAGTTGACGCCACTGGCCAAGCTCGTCAGGCAGCAAGCGCAGTCGGTTGTGGTCGGCATAGAACGCTACGAGTGATGTCCAGCCCCTTACACCGTCTGGCAACGACAAGAGGCTATTGGAGGAGACACGGAGCTCTTGGACGGACACGAGCCCAATGACCGACGCCGGGAGATGGTCAAGACCGTTCCATGACAGATTGAGCAGCTCGCATTGCGGGTGCGGCCCGAACTCACTACTGACGTACCGCAGGCCGCAGGAGGAGAGATCCAAGTGACGTAGTTTTTGGAGCTGGGCAAAGGACGAGGGAAGGCGCGAGATGGGGTTGCCGACGAGGTCGAGCACTTGTAGCGCCGGAAGGTCGCCAAAATGCTGCGGGAGGTGCTCGATCGTATTATCGGCGGCGTACAGTACGTGGAGTGCGGTCAGGTTGCACAACATCGGGAGGTTCAAGTGTGAGAGTCGGTTGCCCGAGATGTCGAGAATTTCGAGCCGTGCGAGTCTCGATACTGTGTCGGGTAGCGCTGTAAGTTTGTTGCTACGTACATTGAGAATGCGAAGCTCCGTCATTTCGCCGATCGTTTCCTACGTAAGATATCAGTTGCAACGGTGTTGGAGTGCGCGCACCGGAAGTGCTGTCAGTTGATTCTGGGACACATCCAGCTTTTGCACAAGACCCAAGTGATAGACAAAATTAGCAGGAAGGGTCGTGAGCGCATTGCACGCAAGGTTCACGAGCACGAGGAGCGAGAGGTCCGTGAGGTTGGCCTTTCCGTGATACACGTCAGCTGGCACCTCAGTGAGTTGGCGGTGCGACCACTCGATCGCGTCGTCGCCACGTTCTGCCCTGCGTTGACCTGCTTCGTCTCGGCGCCGCACAAGGGCATGGGTTTTGACCGCCAAAAGCGCTTGCTTTCGGCGCTCTGTCTCGTCTGCAACCACGCGCAGCAGTCGCCGTTCTTCCTGCGCCATTTTGGCCTTGGCGCTTCGGTCCCTTCGCCGCTGCAGCATCTCTTCGCGCTCGCGCACGGCCTCATCGGTCTTCATTTGCAACTCTTCCTGGCGCTTGAGATGTAGCGCGGCACGGGACTGATCTTGCTTGGTCATTTGTCGCTTGCGCTCGACGTCGAGGACGATACTTCGGGCTTCTTTGGCCATCTCGACTTCCTCCTTGGCCTGGGCATTCATAGCTGCGACGAGGCATTCCTGCAGCACCATTTTTCGCTTCTTGCGTTGCCAGCGCGGTAAGTTTGGTGGCAGTGGAATTTGCCGCTTTGCCAGCTCCACCTCGACCGAAATGAGCTCCGTCCACGTCGCCTACGTCACCGCTGCAGGCCATCGCTAAGGTTGGGGGCAGGGTACTTGAAAATCTGGAAACGCTACGAGCCGCGCTTGCATAGGAAAGTGCGCGTAGAGTTTGGCTTTCGGCGGTGCGACACCGAGGGACTTGAGCGCTTGTTCGTACTCGAGAAAGTTGAGTAGCCCGTCGCGGTCCTCTAAATCGCGTTGGATTCTGGCCCATATATCGCTAGAACCGTCAAAGAGTGCAAATGCGTCTGCCGGCGTCAAGTGCGGCGTCGCTTTGCGTTCACGAAGGTAGTTGGTCATGTACAGCGCAGCGACAAATTCCCTAATTTGAGTAGCACTCGAGTAGGACCAAAATTCTCGTACTGCTCGTCAATAAAGCCGCTATAGGAGCGGTGATGTCGTGAACGAAAAGCAACTCGTTTCTACCTCTTTCCTTCGTCGCACAGCGCAAAGAAGCGGCGGGCCTGTGGCTCGAGCAGCTGAATCTTGCAAAACAAAAGCATCGCCTTGAACTCTACTCGCGTCTTTCGCTGTTGTCACGCTGCAAGCCGTACCACCAAAGTCGATAGCACCGGACCGGTCGCGGTCAAACATGTGGAAAAGCTCTCGGGCGTTTGACGCCAGTGTATCGATTGTCCAGTCGTCATTGGCAAAGTTGGCGCTCGTCGGTGTCGATACGATGATGCTGGCGATGGCGTTGGCTTTGGCCTGAAGCTGCGCTGCGCTCTCGGCAGTTATGTGTGCGTACGGCACGAGGTTAGCGAAAAGGTGGATGTCTGGCGCGACGCTCGGGGGCTTGGCTGTCGCAGGCTTGCAAATGACGATTGCCTTGTACCGACGCGGGTCAAACACGCGCATCGGCTGCTCAAACGTGCGCGAAACGTGGGCGCCCTTAAGTTGCCCGTCGGGACCGTCGTCCAAGAGCAAGCGCTCGCTGGAGCCTTCGAAGCTCGTGATGAACGCTTTTGTAAACTTGGTCACATGCGTCGTGCAAAGGAGAACGTAGAGGTTCTGGCGACGCCGATTGTGCACAACGACGTCTATGAACCGCAACGAGTACTCGCCATTCGCCGCTTGGATCACCTGCAAAGAATTATTGTGCCCGCCAGTGGGCTAACGCTTCAATACCTGGAGCTGGCCGTGCCCCGGCGACTCTGCCTCGTCGTTTGCTGGCGTAGTCTTCTTGGGCGAGCTCTGCTGCTTTATGCGCCGCTTAGTCTTGGCGACAACGACAATGCGCGGAGCAGCCTCTAGCGCCGCCTCGAACACTATCTTCCTCCCATCGTCGCCCATGGATGCCTGCGTCGGTTACAACACGGCGTTACAGCGCAGATGTGGATCTTGATGCCCCTCCGCGCACGTCGCGCGTGGCGATTCCGTGCGACACCCATGCAAAATGCATCCATTGATCCAGCAATGTGCGTCATGAGTCCAGCGCTGGGATTCACGGTCGCTCGCCAACTAACTGACGCCGAGCTCTGGCGCGGTGCCTGCGGTGCTACAGTAGAGCAACGAGCGACGCGTAGTCTGGTCGGACATCTCTGGCGAGATGGGCCAAGTTGGCATTCATGCTGCCTATCATTGCGTCCGGCACGCTGCCCGCTCTTCCTTGCCCGCGCCATGCTTGTGCTTCACGCTGATTGGCGCATGACGATTCGGCCAATCAGAGACGCGAGATACAAAAATACAAGTGCAACCTTGGGCCGTTGCACACGTTTGGAAGATCCGCCCGTCGCCATCTTCGAACGCCGACCTGGCGTAGCCGCACTATTCTGCGATTGTTCCCGACGATCGATGCAGACGCTCATGTCGCTTCGGTCCATGACCTCGTCCAACGAGAGCGACGAAGACCCGGCGTTGGCAGCTGCATGCGACGGTGACGAGATCCTCCTCGACCCCAACCGGTTTGTCCAGCGCAGCCAGTGGGTGCCGCACAGGTAGTGTGTACGAGCAGATTTGACCTCATCGAAGAGAACGTAGTGCGCGTAAGCAGTGCCTCGTATGCGCGCGCGACTTTACGCTCTGGCGCAAGAAGCACACGTGCCGCATGTGCGGCGACGTCGTTTGCAGCCGCTGCTCGATGCACAAGCGAGTCGATCTCCCGCTGATCGAAAACAAGTTTCGCGTTTGCACGTGCTGCTTCTTTGCCTACCGCCAAGGCCTCAAGCCTACGGCGCCATCGACCCTGCGCTGGCGCAATGACGACATCCGCGCCGAACTGCTCGCGATGGACACGACAACAGTGACGAAGCTCACTCCGGACGCTACCGTCTTGTACGAGCCAGCACCGGTTCTCCTCTATGATCCCGCGCTGGACGATGAGTGTACGATGTCGCGACCGGGAAGCAACGAATGCGATGACAGCTCGGACGCCTCCATGACACTCGACGATATTTTGGACGAGGAAGACGCGGCCATGAACGCCCGGGAGCTCGAGCTTGAAGCTCAGGTACAAGCAAGTCGTCTCCGCGTCCAAGAGCTCGAGTCCAAGATTGCGTTGCAAGCGTCCAAGCAAGACTTGACGTTGCAGCAACAGCACGAGCTCCAAGAAGCCCGCAAGCTCATCGTTGAGCTCACGCGACAGCTCAAGGCGCAAGAAGATCAAGTCCAGCTACGCATGACGTTTCGTGAAAGCTTGTGTGTGGAACCAAGCACGCAACGGTCGCGGCGAATGAGCGGCCCGACGCCGCAGCAGCGGCTTAAAGAAGATCTCCAGCTCTCGACAGACACGGTGAAATTGCGTCGACGGCTGCAGAAGATGGAGCGGCAGCTCAAGCAAGCCGGCATCAATGTGGCCGAAGACATCCCGTACGACGAAGCCAAGGAAAAAGTCGCCGAGATCTCAGCGCGCCTGCAGGAGATCGGGTCGTCCGAGATCGTTTGCGACGACAAGCAACTGCAAGCAGCGCTTCGTAAAGAGTACTTTCGACTTGAGCAGGACATGGAGCGCTACAACACGGCGCTTATGATGACGGACGAGTACATGGAAGCTGAGCGCCAGAAGGAGCTACAGTGGGAGCTGCAGCACTGCGCCACAAACGAAGCCGCGCTGCGGCAGCTCCGGTGCTGCATGCCGGTCAACCTCTCGGTGCTCACGGAGAAGGATTTGTCGGCGTGCATCGGCCCTGATTTGGCCAAGAAGCTCAAGCGCACCAACGTTCTACAGCTACTGCGCGTGGACCCCAAGACGATCACGCGTATGCACCCTAGTGTCATCGAAGCCTACCGTCTCACGGGCCTCAGCGTTCTCGAGCGTCGAGCGCTACACGTTGTGCTCGCCACGCCTGCCGCCGAGTGGAAGAAGCAAGCGACGTCCGATGAACTCTCGGCGCGGAAGCTCGCCTGGTTCAAGAAGCTTCACGACGCGCTCGTTGATGGCATCGGCCAGCTCGAGCTGCACAAGACTTCCACTCACGACTGCGGTCGGCGCCAGCAGTGCCCAGCGGTCGTCGAATTAAAAGCGGAGGCTTTGTATACACGGCCCACGTCGAGTGTACCGTACCCCGCCGACGCCGTGTACTTTGTCCAAGACGTTGTGAAGAGTGATCCGGACGGGGCAGGCGAGAAGGCGCTTGCTGAAGTGCGCAATCAAATTCTGCTTGACCGCCGACAAAAGGAGCTCAAGGCCCACTATGGCAACTTGCGCCTCGTGACGCAGGCGCTTGGTGCGATGGACGATCTAGACGCGGCGCTGAGTCGCTTCGCCACTGCCGAGGCGGCACTCGTGCAGCGCCAATGCCTTGACCAATGGTCTTCGCTGCTTCTAGACGCCCGGGACGTCGTGCTCAGCATGGCCAAGCGCAGCGGCATGCACCTCAGCGGGAAGCGCGATCCTTCAAAGGACGATAGCGACCCGCGCGCGACCGTCGAAGTTCACGTTGCCATGGACGTTTTGCACTACGTGGAGGCGATGCTTGAAGAGATCGAATTGGCGCTGCTCGTGGAGCCGACATCGGGAGCACGAACGCGAATCGTCGCGCAGCTCAAGGCCGTGCGTGACGTCAGCAGCGACCTCGGCGTCCGCAACCGGGCAATTGCTCCGACATACAGCGAGAAGACCACCCGCTTGAGCTGGAAGCAGCTGCAGGCGCCAGATTCGGTTGCCGTAACGACGCAAGCACCGACAGCGCCAACTACTACAACTGCTCCAAGTACAACTCGTCCTGCAGTGAGCTTTCTCGATGAAATCAAGGCCAAGAAGGCATCTGCCGCCAAGGCGCCGGTTGACATGCTCGCTGCCATCAAGGCCCGGCGACACAGCAAGCCAACATTGCTCGACGTGCCCAACTCGGCTTAGGCTACTCCACATTCAGATCCGGCCAGATGCATGGCGTCTACAGCAGATCAGAATGTTAGATAAATGTGTTCGTGTTCTTAGTACAAGCGTCATTGCTAAACCATCCAGTCTCGGTCGTGGCATTGAAATGTGAGGTGTGTGGGTGTGCGGGCGAGGAGCTGCTGCATAGCAACAAAGACGCCGATCTCGTCGACGGGCACACCGTTGATGGCTACAAGGCGGTCGCCGGCGCGGACGTTGCGTAGCTTTGTGGCCTTGCTCACGACAAGCACAGTAGCCATCTGGACGTAGTAGTGCTTGAATTGCAAGCCCCAGACGTCGTCACCGTCCCACTCAATCGTGACCTCCGAGGGGCCTTCCTGGCGGAGCAAGAGCTTGTTGTTTTCGATGCAGGCTGCCAGATCGCACCGCGAAGGCTGCGCCACCGCAGGCTTCGCGCAGCCGTCCGCAATAATGTGCTCAAGGCGCTGAAACAGCAGCGAAACAGGCTTCTGAGCTGCCTGGAGAAAGTCGATACACGCCGGCAGCGTGAAGCGCTTCATTGGCACCTCGGCGATCGAGACAAGTACGTCGCCGACAGAAATGCAGTTGACCGCAGCTGCAATGCCCTCACCCGTGCAAAAGAGCACGGCGAGTTGGTTCGCGCTATTCTTGTGCAAGGCGATCCCAAGCGGCTCCCCGTACCACTGGACGAGCGTAAACACGTGCGCGCCGTCGCGGTGGTCCATCGAAAGCGGAATGAACTCGCTCTTGCACACACCAGCGTCGTCGTCAGCGTCGTACGACCGTGACGACATGAGCATCGGCACAACGCTCTCACCCGTCTTGACTTGTGTCGCTCGGCGCGTCGACAAGGGCATCAAACTCGAACGGTTACTCGAAATCATGGCGTACTGCTGTGGGTCGTAATCGAAGAGACTGTCGCGGCTACCGTCGTCATCATCGTCGTAGTCATCGCGTAGACCATCGCTCCAGTACGGTTCCGGCACGACGTCGATGCCGTTGAACTTTGTGCGAGTCATGGGTGGCGCCGTATCGATAAAGTCGGCCGCCGTCGACGGAGGTACCTCTGGACCACTGCGAAACTTGCTCGGGAGGGTCGTTGCATTGCTCGGGACACTCACACTGGTAGCGACTGGCGGTGTTGGTGGCGGTGGCGTCGCATCGTACTCGACCGACGCGACGGGCATCGGGACGTCCGAGAGGCGCAGTGACGCCGCGTTGGAGGTGAAGCTGTCGTCGTTGTTGGAGTGGACTTCGCGGATCTGGCGCCGAAACGAGAGGATCGCTGGCTTCACAATGTTCTTGAGCAGCGCCATCGTTGCCTCAAAGCCAATGTCGATCGTTGAGTGCTCGTTGATGCCGATGAGCTCGTCGCCATGCTGGATCTGGCGTAGGTCCGGGTTGCATTTTGCATCGGCCGCCTCTGTCTTGCCCTTGACGATGCTTTTGTTGCGGCGATTCTTGATAAGCAAGCCAAGGCTCTTGTCGTTCCACTTGGCCATGTACGTAATGTACGCCATGTTGGACCGCGCCGAGTCGGCTACGCATGGTCGTGAGCGCATATTTGTCGCACTAGAGTCTACTGACTGGATGTTGTTGATGCGATCGAAATTGACGTGCGCAGCAGAAGAGCATTCTCTAGCGCGGGGTGGCGCTTCGCAGACTCGTTCGGCTCAACCTAGTACGGGCTGTCGTCCCGTCTCGCTCCAAGCATGCGTCGTACCTGGGCTTTGGGGTCGATCACTGGAGCTGGCGGAAGGTCGCCCAATGGCGCTCGGCGCTTGCCATAGTCAAAAAGGTTGGACAGCCGCGTCATGGACTGCGATCGTGGTCGGGACTTGAATAAAAGGCAAATGCTGCCAGAAGGATATAAACTCACTGAACGGACCTTTACGCGCCACATGTCGCATGTCCAAGAGGCTTTCTTAGCAGACACGGATGTGTTATTGACGCCAATATTGCTACAAAGATACACTGGCCTCGGAAGCACCCGAGGCGCGTAGGAACTCGAGGCGGATCGGTTTGGGCAGAGTTTGGAGAAAGTGGATCGACTGCTGGTACCCGATGCGCGCCGTCTCAAAGCCATTGATGACCACGAGCTCGTCACCAACTGCAAATTTCGATGCCAAGTCCGCGGGCGGAATCCCCACTTGCGTCACAAGCAGGCGAGAGTTCACGAACTTCAACGTCAGGCCGAGGGTGCCTTGGCGCCAGCGTACTTTGTAGTATCCTGTTGCCGCTGGCACAGGAGCTTTTGGCGTCTTGGTGTCCGGCTTTTTAGCAGCAGGTGCTGAGGTATGACCTCCACCCGTGAAGCCCGAGATGACGAAGTCGATGAAGTTACCGAACCCAAGAGGTTGGACGGGCGCGACGACCGTTGGCGCAGGCGGAAGTGGCGTGAGGGCTGACGTTGCGGCAGGAGGTACAACGACGCTCGCCGCAGGCGTGGATGCAACGATCATGTGCGGTACAAGGATGGGCTGGCGCTCTGGAGTGTACCCGGCGACGTTGTACTGCACCGGCAGATACAGCGGATGGGTTGATGGGGCTCCTACCATTGCGGAAGTTGATTCAGTCGGTGGCTGAGTAACGACGGCAGTGGTTGAGGGGGATCGCGGCGCCGGTGGATTGGGTGTCGACGGTAGCGGTTCAATTGCGGTCGAGCTTCTCGGAGACTTGGCGCCCGGCGGGATTTTGAAGAGGTTTTGCCAGCGCGCGGGGGGTGCTTTTGGCCGTGGGCTACCCGTCAGTGACGGTGTTGCCATCGTCGCCGCGTCTGTGCTTTTGGTCATTACGAAGCTGTCAAGCTGGTCTTCGAGGCTGGTCATCGTCGCCGCCTCAAGTGTGGCATCACTCGAGATAAACAAGGCTTCGAGGTCCGCTGCTTTTGAGCAGTGGGGGCAGCGACAGTAGGCCAGCGACGAATGGCTCGATGCGGCAGACGCTGTCGACGCGATGGGTGAGGCGTCGTTGTGGTCGTGAGTGTCTGCCAAGAGCGATACGAGCGTCTGGTACACTTCATCGGACGTCAGCAACGAGGACTCGGAGTCGACGACGGTCTGTGTTGGGCTGCGGGCGAATATGAGCGACGCTGGTCTCGGGACGGAGTGCAGCAGCTGCATGACGCTTGCGTAGTCACACCAGAGCACCAATTGACCATTGACAGCCAAGAGAACGTCGCCCGCATTGACTTCATCGCACGCCGACGCCTTCACAACTGTCCGTCCATTTTCGTTGATGAGCGTAAGTCCAAGTGGCCCCGCTCCCCAAGAAACCTCGACTTGCGTCAACTGCGCAAGCTCGTGTTGCAACAAGAGTCGCTCCGAGCTCAGCGAGATGTCTTGAATTGACTGTCGTCGAAAGAGGCTCTTGCGCTGCAGCTTCTGCAACGTCGCGGGGCTAGGCGGCGCGTCGGCAACTCGCGGCTCCATGGCAGTGCGCTGACTGGTTTTCATCTCGGTCGCGTGTAGAGGTTTGGGCGCACCACATGGTGATCACATTGTGCAGGCCGATTGCGCGCGATGCTTGCAGAACGCTCGCTGCGGCGCTGAAGAATATGTATGAAGATATAGCGAGTGTGGAGGGTACCATGGTAGCTGCGCGCTAGTTTCGCTTTTACCGTGAGCAAACTGGACGTGCTCGCAGCTACAGCTGGCGGCGATACTAGTATTTCGGTGCTCGATCCATGAAAGCGCCACGAGTGCATCGTTGGTCGCCCACCTCAGAGTGGGCGCCAGTGTATAATCGACAGCCCAGGACGACGGAGATGGCAACGACAAGTGCACGGACGCGTACGCACACAGTGCTAGAGGGGCACCACTCATGGCGACAAGAGCACGGTCTGGAGGGCTCGTGCTCGTGTACCTCGTGTACCTAATTCGAGAGCGAGAGCGCCAACGCTGCTATGAAACATCTCGGTGGCGCTGTGTCCCACGACTTTGTCATGGCCGCTCCCGTTGGCTCCAGCCAGCACTTCGACGTAGCAAGGGTATATAAGAGATGCCTTGGACGTAGTAGCTTTCATGGGTTCTTACCGTCGTCTTGGTGCTGCTTGTGAAGAAAACAGAGTCGAGACCGTGTCGACAAGGTCGCGATGCACTGCGGATGCCCCAAGAGTCGCGTCTGCTTCGGTAGCACGCTTGTCAAGGTCAAGAGTAGAAAGTCGACACAAAGAGGCGCTTGGATTACGATGAGTTCATAATAAATACAGTACGTAGTACGAACTCGGCGTCTTGAAAAGAGCAGGCACCGCCTAGGCGGCGGCATTGGCGTCTGCGAGCGCCTGACGACGGAAGACGAGGAACGTCGGCTTGCGCACCGATTGCATCACCTGCGACGCGGCCGCGAGCGAGAGGTTCCGGACACGAACGTCGGCGACGGAAATGAGCACGTCGCCGCGACGAATCAAGTCCGACTGCGCCGAAAGCCCATCGCCAGTAAAGTCCTTGACAAAGTTCTCGTCCTGCGCGTTCTTGCGCACCACGATGCCGAGAGGGCCGCCTTCCCAGACAACAGAAAAGATGGCACCGGCCTTGGCCTCGGACGAGCTCGGGCTGCCGTGGGCGTCGTCCACCGATGTCGAGATGCCGCGCGCCGACGTCGGGACCATGTCAATCGACACCTGCGAGCGCCGGTCGATGGGCGCGCGCAAAAAAACAAGCGACACGGGCGTCGGCGTCTCCTTCAGGACGCGCGACGTCTCCTCGAGCGTGGCTTGACGCACAGTGATGTTGCCAACGGCGACGAGGACGTCGCCCACGTTAATAATGTCCGACTCGCCCGCGAGGCCACCCCCGGTGAGCGCCATGACGCATACCTCGTCATGGCGGTTGAGCTTGATCGCAATGCCAAGCGGACCGCCTGTCCAGATAATCGAGTAGAGTGTGCTCATCGCGTCGTCCTGATTGGTCAGGACCATCGGGTTTGCGTCAGATGCACGGTCCGTCATCGCTGACACGTCGGACGCGCGATCCGTAAAACTCGGCGCCAACTCGCGTGTCGTGTCGTCCAAGTGGTCAGCGAGAGGCACGGCCACCGGCATGTCTTCCATTGCGGCTGTCGGCGTCAGTACCGTCGAGTGCATCGGCGAGTGCGCCGACGAGAGCGGCGACTGGAGCGGGGTCATGACCTCAGGCGACTGCATGGGTGTGAACACGGGCGCGGGCGACATGACGGGCGACATGACGGGCGACATGACGGGCGACGGGAGTGCTTGGGGCGTCATGATGACCGAGAGCGGCGCGTAGGCTCCACTGAGAGCCGGCGATGCCAAGGGCGAGTCAATTGCAACGCACACAGACGGCGGCTGGATGCTGACGCGGGGCGCCAGCAGCGGGCTCTCGGGCACAAGAAGAGCTGGAGGTGCGGGGTCGCGTACCACCGGGCGTCGAAGGACCTCAATACTTTTGGCAGCCGTCACACGCGTTTCAATCGCTTCGGTGGGCGGTGACACCGCCACTGTGACGATGGTCGGTAGCTCTTCCTGGGCGACGAAGGGGGCTTCGACAGATGCAGGCGCTTTGTCGGCAACGACGGGTGTTTGGACGTCGGCACCAGCAACGGACGTATCGGGGATCGGAAGCACAGCCTTGTTGACACTGTTCAGTTGCGCCGGCTGGTGCACAACGACCGGTGACGGACGGCGCTCAAAGACGAGGGCGGCGGGTTTCTGGATGCACTTGAGAAAGTCCACAGTGCCCGCGAGGCCAAGCGGCTTGGCTGGGACACCCGTCACCGAGACGAGGACGTCGCCCACTACGATCGCGCCCGACTCTTCCGAGAGGCCCTTGCCCGTCACCTGGGCGACATACACGTCGTCCGTGTCATTAAGCTTGAGGACAATGCCGAGAGGCCCGGTCTTCCAGAGGAGCGAGTAAACCACGGGCCCGGAAGATGACGGCTCGTCATCGATGACAACTTCGGCGTCGTCGTCATCATCATCCAGGGCGCCCTTGCAGAAACGGAGCGTGATCGGCTTTGGACCCTTCATCGCCTGGAGCGACGCCGCGTACCCGACGTCTGCAACGAGGACGCCGTTGACAGCGATGAGCTCGTCGCGCGCTTGAATTTGCGCCAAGTTGGGGTCCGTCGCCGTGCCGGTGGTCTCGCGAACCACGGCATGGACGTCATCCTCCAAATGAATAACGACACCGAGCTTGCCCCGCGTCCAGACGACTTGGTACTCCGCGTCGAGGACCGGCGTTTCCTCTGAAATCGACGACTGCGTCTGCAGCAGCACGGGCGGCTGCAAAAACGTTTCTCCGAGCGTACCGGGAAGCACCACGGTTGTGCCCGTCGACCGCTCGAAATCTGGCAGCGCCATCATCGCAATGGACTGCTGGTCGCTCGCATCGTCTCCAAACGAGTCCTTCGGGGATGGCAGCGGCGACGGAACGGGAGCTCGCGTCGGTGCTGCGAGGACGGGTGCTACAACGTCGGGTTCAACCTTGGCTGTCGACGGCTGGCGCGCCCTGCGGTGCTCAAAGTCAAGAACAGCGGGCTTTTGGATACACTGAAGAAAGTCGACCGTGCCTGCGAGACCAAGCGGCGCAGTTGGCACGCCCGTGACAGCCACGAGGATGTCGCCGACGGCAATCTTGCCGGATGTCGCCGAGAGGCCCTTGTTGGTGAGCTGCTGCACAAAGATTTCGTCGTTCTTGTTCTTCTTGAGAACGATGCCCAGGGGACCCGTCTTCCACACGAGCTGGTACGGCTCGGCAGGTCCGTCCGCCTCGACCATTGTGTCGATGAGCGTCCCCGAGGCCATCGCGCGGCGGAAGCGGAGATGGATCGGTTTCTTCCCGCGCATGCGGAGGAGCGCTTCGTTGTAGCCAATCGAGGCCACGGATGCATCGTTGACGTAGAGGAGCTCGTCGCGCGGTTCGATTTGACCTGTGCTCGGGTCGGAGCTTGGCGTTGTGCGCTCCTTGACGACAGCGCGGCCGCCTTCTTCGAGGTGGATCACGACCCCAAGTTTGCCTTGGGACCACGTGACGTTGTACTCGTTCGCGAGCAGTGGTGGCAGTGCAAACGCCGTCGGAATCGTCATCGCCTTGGAGCCACGCCGTGGCCGCTCCGGCTCGGGTTCCGTAGCCTCGGGCTCTGGGACGACGGCCGGCACCGATCGCGCAGGTTCGACGCGGAGAGGGGGCTCAGGTTTCGACGGCGATCGAAAAGTAAGCGTAAGCGGCAAGTCCCGCTCGCTAAGCCGTGCTTTTACTTGGTCCCAGCTCATGGACGTGCAGTCCTCCCAGTTGATGGCCACAAGCACATCATTCACGGACGCCGACGACAGACCAGCCGTCGTCTCCACTTTGTCCGACTGGTCTTCAACGCGCTTGATGACAGCTTGCTGCTTCGAGTTACAACGCAGCGCGACGGCCAGTGAGTCACGGTGCCAAATGAGATCGTACTCGGCCTTCGCCGACGACGCTCTGAGCACCGAACCAGATGTCGACGATGACGATTGCTGTCGCGTTGACGACGAGGACGCTTGACGCGACGACGCGCGAGGTTGGGATGGCATGCGAGGCACCGGTTCCGCAGACACCTGGCGCGTGCGCGAGTCCGACGACGACGGATGTCGCCTCTGGCTATCTTGTGACGGTTGGCGGTGCGTCCGTTGGTCCTGATGTGACGGCGCACGCTGCACAGGTGCTTGGTGGTGTTGAGGTGCCTGCTGCTGTAGGTGATACTGCAGAGGTGCGGGGTGACTTGACTGTGGGTAGTGCTGTGGCGGCTGCACATACTGGGGTGGCTGTTGCTGGTATTGCGGCTGCTGGTGTTGCGGCTGCTGGTATTGCGGCTGCTGGTATTGCGGCTGCTGGTATTGCGGAGGTTGGTGCTGGTATTGTGGAGGTTGCTGCTGGTATTGCGGAGGTTGCTGCTGGTATTGCGGCTGCTGGTACTGCAGCGGGTCGACCTGGTACTGCGGCTGCTGCGGGTTGGCCTCCTGCCTGCCGGCGCGGCGCGGCTCGTGGCGGCCTCGATCCACGTCGAGGACGTTGCCGTACCCAGACGTCTTCTTCTTCAACGCTCGGTAGTTCTGCATCCCGCCCGACAAGAAATGCGCCGCGTTTGATATATTGCAGCCGCAATATTAATATTGAACGGTAAAGTGACCAACCCTGGGTCTGGCTCGTCCATACGCCAATCAGATCGTCGCATGCTATTTTTTCTCCTATTTTGCTCAAATCAGTCAGCGTTTGCGCTACAAATCCCTTGATATTCGACGCGCACGGCACCATTTTATTGCGCCGCGAGGACGCCGTGAAATATATATTCGGTAAGACCCCGGGGCACCATTTCTGTGGGGCGCGAGGCAGGGCGCGATTGGATCCCGAAGGGGGCGTCCCGGGGCACCGCAGCTAGGGTTGGGGCTGTGGCAACGACGGGTGGAGTGGAGTTGCGTGACGCACACACTCACGAACGGCCAAAGTCGGGTCTGGGCTAACTTGGCTTGATGGTACGGATGGCAAACAGCAGCGCGGACGAGCCGGACGAGTACGAAGAGGACGAGGAGAAATGGTCGCAGTGGTTCTGCGGCCTCCCTGGCAACGAGTACTTCTGCGAGATCAACCCTGCCTACATCGAGGACTCGTTCAACCTCTACGGGCTGCGCGCTATCGTGCCCAACTACCAGGATGCACTCAACATAATCCTCGACTTGACAGGTACTCGATGGCTACGCCGCCGCCGATGCATCTCACGCCCACGAACCTAGATATCCCGTACGACGAAGACGTGCCGTCGTGCGCCGTGGAGCTCTACGGTCTCATTCACGCCCGGTACATTATCACGAGCCATGGCCTCGACGCGATGTTGAAGAAGTACCGCGAGGCTGAGTTTGGCTACTGCCCGCGCGCGCTTTGCGACGGCCAGCCCGTCGTACCCGCTGGCATGTATGATGAGCCGCGCAAGGCTGAAATGAAGGTCTACTGCCCCAAGTGCAGAGACTTGTATACGCCTGCAATTGACTTCGAGAGCGCGACCAGTACGATACCGCTCTTCTGGGATGCTGAGTCTAACGAGTGTGTTCTGTGTAGTTGATGGCGCCTACTTTGGCTCGACGTTCCCGCACCTCTTCTTCATGACGTACAGCAACCTGGAGCCGGCTCCGTCGACGCATCTCTACGTCCCGCGCGTCTTTGGCTACAAGATTCACAGAAAGGGCGCAAACCGACAGCGGCTCGCGGCAGCATCCTCCAAGATGCTCGAGAATGGCGATGCGACGACAAACGGCCAGGTACTATCGCACGCCCGTGCAAAACATTGATCGATTCATACGATGCCCTTGGACAGTAGTTGTGATGCATCCTCCTTTGACCCTTAGCGACGACCAAGCAACGGTTCCAAGTTGGCCAAGGATGATACCAAGGACGACGAGCAAGGGACGAAGCAGACTACGAGCGATCAAGGCGCGCGGGGCAAGAAGAGGGTCAAGCAGAACGACTGAGCCGCCGACCTGCCTTAACGAATTAGCCATCTAAACTAATACCAGCTCATCTTCATGTTGCTACTTGTCGTCGCAGTTAGAGCTTGGCCAAGACCCGCGTAGCCTCGGCCAGCGAAATCCCTTCGTCTGCGAGGGCTTGCAGCGCTGGCTCGTAGATATCGCTGGCCACCGGTTGCACGAATCCCTTGTTGGTCACGCGTCCTTGCAACATAAGCTCGACCCCAATTGCAGTCGTGAGGCCAACTGAGCGCGCCATGAACGTGCTGTCTGCATCCCCGTATCTGCAGAAGCACGTAAGATTGGATCCATGAAAGCCAGTGTACCCCAGAAGCGTGCCCGTGTGCTCCACGAAGGACCCGTCAGCTTGCTCGACGACGAGAACGTGGCGCATGATGACGAGGTCGCGCTCATGCGGCTGCAGTGTCAGCCTGGCCTCGAGCCGGCGCGTGAAAGCTTCCAGCGCCGTCGACGCTGGCGCCAACACGCCGCTTTCGTCAAGCCACTGCAAGAAGTGCAACGTCGGGTCGCTCAAGTGCAAACTCGGAAGCGCTTGGCGGCGTGCTGCCACGAGTGCGCTCCAGGACGTCGCGTCGCCCGTCGGTGTCGAGTCATCGAGGAGCCCGAGAGCAATGCACTCGGCGAGGATGGCCGAGAAACCCGCGTAGCGATACGTGCCGCGGGAGATGGACGCGGTGTCCGGAATACCGTAGAGCTCGGCGTACGGGAGTGCGTTGCCGTTCGGTAATTGCTCCAGCGCGAGCGCGGGAAAGGCGCGCGAAGGCGAAGCGTGCTCCAAGAGGGTGTGACCGGGTACATCGACGACGCGGCCGTCGACCTTGTACTTGGCCGGCCGTTGCATCGCCCGCATCGTTCCTATAGAAGATAAGGTCGATGCTGCAAATGCCGTTTGCATCACCGACCCAAAGGTGACCACGTAAACTTGTAGCCGATGGGGTTGTTGGCGGCCTCGGGCGCCGGGAGCCCGCCGCAGGTCGACGAGAAGGCATGGACGCGACCGCCAGCAGCGTGGACGCGAGCGATCATTTGCTTAGCACTCATGTGGTCCTAATGTACGTCCGTTTTGTGAAGCTAAACTATTTGAGAAGGGTCGCCTTACGAGGCCAGGATCAAGACCGCATTCGCAGAGAATCGCAATGCCGGCGCCGATCGCGGCCGGCTCGAGGGCTCGGAGACGTGGCGACGCGTAGCTCGCTGTCACGAGCGGTGTCTTGGTCGCGATGCAGGCGCGTGCGATCGCGAATTGCGCGTCTTCTGGCACCAACGCAGCGACGCACGTTGCTTGGAACTGCTCGAGGCACGCGACGACGGCAGCGACGGCCGAAGTCGCGTCCGTGATGCTGAGCTCGTGCGTCTGCAAGTTGAAGCGCCCCATCGCAGCCGCCTTGTCGCGCAACTGCGCTAGCTGTCGAGCGTCATCAGAAACAAGGACCAGCTGCGTGCCAGCGCTGCGTGTGATCTTCTCGACGAAGGGGAAGGCCACGCGGCCCGATCCAAAGCAGACGACGGCCATTGCGAAATGTCACAGCGAGGTCAAGGGCAAATTGTTGCGTGTTCCCAGCGTTGATCCAAATCACATCGTCATGGGACCAAGTAAAGTCAGCTTACAACAAGCACGACTCATAGAGCAAATCTACTGCGGTGTAATGGTGCCTGATTCTGGTCCACTGCAGCTGCCCACGGCACAACCTCAGATTATGATTCCTGGTCTCAGCTTGGCATCGGCGTGTTCGCGCTTGATTCGAGGACGTGCTGGGTCATATACAGAGCACGTTTGTGCAAGATACCTCTTCCGCCCCTTGAAGTGCAATCGTGGCACAGGAGTCGCCAACAAGTCCATCCCGAGGCATGCAGTGTACTGCAGTAGTGCGAAGAGGTTTCGTTCATCTTATCAATGCTGAAGCTGATACTTAATATGGCCTTGCTAATACTGCTTGCTACCTGGAGCTGTTGGCAAGATCATGCTTTTATGACTCGACTCGATGCCGCTAATGTGCGCTGATGTGCAGCACATTGGGCACAGACTAGGTGCACGCAAATCCAATCCGGATACAGAACTTCGAAGCCTCAAAAATCGAAGATTCCGGATAGCGCAAGCCAACCACGTGTGGCGAGCATTTCCCATATTGCGTCAGCGACGATGGACAAGCAGCAGGTGGCAGCCGCGATCGAAGAGGTCAAGAACAAGGCGGAGCTCGTGACGGTCGAGGAGCAGGAAGAGTTCCTGCGCGTGCTGAAGCAGCTCAACCTTGTCACGCAGGAGCAGGCGGAACAGCGCATCAAGAAGCAGAACGATGACTACAAGTTCTGGAAGACGCAGCCCGTGCCTGCCATTTCGGAGCACCCCACGGAACACGGTGCAATTGACGCGCCCAAGACTGTCGAGGATGTCCGCAAGACGCCGCTCAACATGCCTGCCGGTTTCGTCTGGTGCGACCTTGACTTGACCAACGAGGTCGAGCTCAAGGAGCTCTACGATCTCTTGTACCAAAACTACGTCGAAGACGACGACAACATGTTCCGCTTTGACTACTCGATGGAGTTCCTCAAGTGGGTCCTCCTCTCGCCGGGCTTCCACAAGGACTGGCACGTCGGTGTCCGCAACGAGAAGACTGGCAAGCTCATGGCTTTCATCGGCGGCTTCCCCACCAAGATCCGCGCCTACGAGAATGTGATGCCGATGGCCGAGATCAACTACCTGTGCGTGCACAAGAAGCTTCGCGCCAAGCGCCTCGCGCCCGTGCTCATCAAGGAGATCACGCGCCGCGTCAACCTGCGCAACATCTGGCAGGCCATCTACACGGCCGGCGTCGTTTTGCCGATGCCCGTCTCGAGCTGCCGCTACTTCCACCGGTCGCTGCACCCGAAGAAGCTCATCGACGTTGGCTTCTCGCATCTTGCACCCAACTCGACCATGGCTCGCACGATCAAGCAGCTCAAGCTCCCCGATGCGACGTCGACGCCGAACCTCGTGCCCATGGCGCCACGCCATGTCGCGGGCGTCACGGCGCTACTCCGCACGTACCTCGCCAAGTTTGAGCTCGTCGCCGACATGAACGAGCACGAGGTAGCCCACTGGCTCCTCCCGCGCGCTGGTGTCGTCAGCTCGTATGTTGTCGAAGACCCGGCCACGCACAAGGTCACGGACCTTGCGAGCTTTTACCACCTCCCATCCACGATCATCGGCAACAAGACGTACAAGACGCTCAACGCGGCGTACTCGTACTACAACGTCGCGACGACCGTGCCGCTCGTGAAGCTTATGGAGGACCTCCTCATCCTCGCCAAGGAGCAGGAACAGGACGTCTTCAACGCGCTCAACCTCATGGAGAACACGGAGTTTCTCGAAGAGCTCAAGTTTGGCATTGGCAGCGGCGAGCTCCAGTACTACCTCTTCAACTGGCGTTGCCCGCGCATGCCCCACGGCAAGGTCGGCATCGTGCTCCAGTAGGATTAGCGGCCGAGTAGGAATGATAGCGCGTAAAAGTACGACGTGAGATGTACACTCGTCAAGGGGCTTGCACTCAACCATACTGCCGAGACGATCTTGGCCATTTCAACTGCTAAATGTGAACCATGGTGCCAAGTGATGAGTCCAAGACGGAGGCAAATAAGGCCAAGGGACTAGGTGCTTCGGGGGCGTGACCAAAAGTAGGCTGTCGTGCTGCCACGTCATTCGCGTGGTTTCGCGGGCCGTTGCGACGGGGTGCGTTTCGAGCTCAAAATACCTCTGTGACGACGCCCAAATTCACTTTTCAGACATGTCGAGCCGCAGCATCTCGTTCTCGCGGCCGGCGACGTACAACCCCGAGCTTGTGCGCAAGGCGACGTTCGAAGACGACGATGACGCGGTGCGGCGGCGCCAGATGAAGGAAGAACTCGGCCTTGACGACGACGACGCAATGCTCGAGCAGCCAAAGACGTCCTCCAACAACGCCGAGTGGCAGCAAAAGTGCGAGGACGCGCTCGCCAAGCTCCGCGTCGCCATCGAAAACGAAGAGAAGGCGCAGAGCTCGCTCAGCAAACTCCAACTCCTGAGCAAATCCCAGACCGCGATTCTCAAGACGACGTTCGACAAGAAACTCAAGGCCAAAGAGTCGCTCGTGCAAGACCTGTTGTACGCCATCTCGCAGCACGAGACCAAGCTACGCGCCGGCGGTATCGCTTTTGACCCCGTCGACACGGAACTCGCCGAGGCATCCGCGACAGCAGCGTCCACCAAGGACGACGGTGGCGACGATCCGCTTGGCAGCCTCCGCGCCGAGATTGACGCCCTCACGGAGCAGAACCTTCAACTCAAGAAGCAGCTGCGCGCTGACACGACAGCGGGTTCAAAGAGCTCCAGTAGTGATGCAAGCGGACTTCAAAAGAAGGTTGCGACGCTCGAGTCAGAGAAGCAAAACCTCCTCGCGCTTCTGAAGGACGCCCAGACCAAGTTGAGCAAAGCCAAGGACGCGCCTCTGCCTCCCGCCGCCCCGGATACCAATATCGATGCCGCAGCCCAAGCGGCGCAAAAAAAGGTATGCAGCAGGGCGATGATGTCGATGGTGCCATGTGGTCGCCCGTGTAGCTGGAAGTCGCGCTCCAAGCTTCGGCCAAGAAGGTAGTTGGCGGGTCGGCAAGTTGGGCAGACGTTGTATTGATGCGAATAGATTGCGTCCCTGGAGCAAGAACTCGCAGCGGCCAAGAAAGCAGCCACCGTTGTTGCTGTACCAGCGTCGGAAGTGCAGCCCACCACGTCCGTGGCCGACCAAGTGCAATTCGATACCTTTAAAAGCACTTTTCTTACCTGCGATTATAGGCCAGAATCACGCAGCTCGAAGCCGATCTCGCAGCGGCCAAGGTTGCGGCGTCCGAGATGGAGGCAACCTACGTCGCCAAGCACGAAAAGCTCAAGCAAACAGCCGAAGCCGAACTGAACAAGCTAAAGGACCAGGCGAAGAAGTCTATTTTGGATCTGCGGAAGAAGCTCGAAACTAACTCCAAGAGCAGTTCGCAGCTCCAGACCAAGCTCGCGGCGGCCAAAACGCAGCTGGCTGCGCAACGCCAGGACCTCGCCACGCTGCGAACGGGCGTCAGTGGCCTCGTGACGCAATTCCCGGCGGCGGCCAAAGACATCGCATCCAAAATTGAGGCGCGCGTCAAGGTGCAAGCCGACGCGCTCGCTGGTGTTGTCGACAATTACCGGCGCGAAATGAAGGAGCGAAAGCGCCTCTTCAACCTCGTGCAGGAGCTCCAGGGCAACATCCGCGTGCTGTGTCGGTTCCGACCCATCTCCAAGTCGGAGCTCGCGAATGGAAGCAAGGTCGTCGCCAAGTTCAACGGCCCCGAGGAGGTCTCGCTCGCGGGCGACAAGGGCAAGTCGAAAACGTATGAGTTTGAGCATGTATTTGACATGCAATCGACGCAAGACCAGGTTTTTGCGCAAGTCAAGGTACGACTGATGATTTTCTGTCAACGCCACAGCGTATCATCGACTCTAGCCGCTCATTACGTCCGTCCTCGACGGCTACAATGTGTGCATTTTTGCGTACGGCCAGACTGGGTCGGGCAAGACGTTTACGATGTCGGGATCCACTGAGAACCCGGGCATCAACCCGCGCGCGCTCACGGAGCTCTTTGCGCTCAAGCAGAGCCGGAAGCAAGAGTACAGTGACGAAATCCAAGTGAGCATCATGGAAATCTATAACGAAGTGATCCGCGACCTTCTCGCAGAAAACGCTGCGACGACGTACGCACACGAGCCATACATGCATTCATGTGGCTATAGGAACCTCTCGGTGCGCCAAGGCCCGAACGGCAACTTTGTGCAGGGCTTGACGATGCTCGCCGTGGCTAACGCCAATGACGTCTTCAACCTCATCACGCGCGGCAACCAAAACCGCGCGACGTCTGCGACGGATATGAACGAGCACAGCTCTCGGTCGCACTCGATCCTTTCCGTGTACATCAAGAGCACCAACGTCCTCACCAACGCGGTTGCTACGGGCAAAGTATCTTGTGTGGGATCTATCGGCATAGCTAATGACGATTCGGTAGCTGCACTTGGTCGACTTGGCGGGCTCGGAGCGCCTCTCCAAGACGGGCGCCGAGGGGCAGCGGCTCAAGGAGGCGCAAAACATCAACCAATCGCTGTCGACGCTCGGGAATGTCATTCAGGCGCGCGCCAACAAGCAAAAGCACGTGCCGTACCGCGACTCGTCGCTGACGTACCTCCTCCAAGACTCGCTTGGCGGCGACTCCAAGACGCTCATGGTCGCGTGCTCGTCGCCCGTTGACTACAACGCCGAAGAAACCTTCTGCACGCTCAACTTTGCGGCTCGGACGCGGTCGGTCGAGATGGGCAAAGCATCCAAGAACGTCGCGTCGACCAAGTAGGAGGAGTGAGTCGACAAGCAGATGCACCGTAATGCAAAATGTGTGAAGCAAACAAAATATATTGGCCAGTGTCGCAGCGAAACGATGCTACCCCGTCTTTCGTCTCTTGGTGCGGAAGCTCGCGACCTCGTCATCGTCGTCCGAGACCATCGTTGGGGCATCCTCCTCGACTTGGGCAACATTCTCATCAACGTCGTTGGCCTCGGTCTCTTCCTCATCGTCCTTGGTCTCTTCCTCGTCGTCCTTGGTCTCTTCATCGTTCTCCTTGGTCTCATCCTCGTCGTCCTTGGTCTCTTCCTCGTCGTTCTTGGTCTCTTCCTCGTCGTCCTTGGTCTCTTCCTCGTCGTCCTTGGTCTCTTCCTCGTTCTCATTCGCCTCGACTTCCTCCTCGTCGGCATTCTCATCGTCGGCGGAGGCCTCGCTGCTCATCTTGACGTTTGGTGTCTCCTTGAGGTCGAACACCTCATCATCCGAGTCGGGCGCTGAGCGGATGCGGCTGCTTCGTCGCGTCGGCTGGGCCTCGGGACCGCGACGACGCTTCCGAATCGTGACGTTCGAGACCGTGGGGTTGGTCGCAGCGGTGTCGTCGTCGTCGTCGTCAGACAAGGACGTTGCCCGGCGACGCTTTTTGGGCGTCGGGACACTGGAAGACTCGCTTGACTTGGGCCCGGCTCCCGTAAAGACGGTGTAAAACTCATCGAGAAAGCCATCAACGTCAGTCGTGTCGTCAACAAGGCGGCTGCGAAGGGCATCAAAATGTTCCTGGAGCTCCTTCATCGCCGCTTTCTCGAGACGGTACAAGTACGGTTTGAGAAGCTGGAGAAATCCGACATGCTCGTCCAGCGGTGACAACAGTGAGACGCGGAGTCCCTCAAAGAGGAACTTGAGATAGCTGCCCCGCAACGACACCGGAAGTTTCACACCGAGAGACTGGCTCAGCGCCTTGGCGAGATCGATGGCTGTTTGCGGTGAGTCCTCGAAGGTGTGGCGCAGCGCCACCATCTGCACTTCAAGCAGCTTCACCGGCGAGAGCGAGCTCAAGAGTTTCCCGAACGCCTTGGCGATCGGACGAAGGCCTGCGTACGTCACGAGTCGGAGCACGGAAGCGGCTTGGCGCTTGTTTTGAGGATTCCAAATGGACGCACTCGCGAGCGCCACAACCACGTCCCGCTGCGCGTTTTCGTCCTCGTCGTCACTCTCGAGCGCGCGCTCGTAGAATGATTGGCTTAACGCAAGAAGGTTCGGATGTGGCTTGTACGCTACAATGTCCAGAGGCGGCGCGAGCGCAACAAACTTCTCGACACACAAGCAGCGGACATCGCAAAGCGCCTTGAACGCCTCAAGTTGCACCGCTTGGATCTCGGCCCAGTGCGGCGCGTCTTCGTCAAGCTCATCATCGAGCACGTCGTGCACGTTGAGTGTGTCGCGCGTCACGCGCTGCTTGAGGTGCATCGAAAGGAGCTGCAAAAGCGCGTCTTCCAGGGCATGTCGGCGTCGAAGAACTTTCTGAATATGAGTGTCGACGTCGTCAGGCACCTCGCTCTTCTCAAGCATATCAAAGACGGGCGTTGTCGCCCAGAGGAGGTCCTTGAGCACAATGTTGAGCGCGTACTTGATCGCGAGCGCGTCGCCGGCAAAGTGGGTGCTACGGTCCGCGATAAACTCGAGCAGCAACGTCCGGTCTGTCGCCTTGAGGTACTCGCGCAGGTCGAGGTATCCGCCGAGAAAGCTCAGGCGGGCGAGCCACGCCCGAAGCGTGAACTGCTCGTCGTCGTCGAGGTTGCGCTGACGGATGAGCGTTGCGCACTGGTCGACGCCTTCCTGTGCGATCGCAAAGAGAACGACGTCCACGTCGCGCTTGAGCGTTGTGTTGCTGCTCTCTGCCATGTAGTGGAACGCGCTCGAGAGCGCGTCCAAGAAGGGCTCTTCCGAGTACGTAATATAGACCTGCTTGAGACGCTGCAGGAGCATCTCGACGTGCTCGTGGTGTTGGTTGATGTTCGACGCGTTCCAATTGAGGAGCGAGAGCCACTGCAGGAGCAAGCACACCTTTTCCGAGTCGGCCTGAAAACGCATCATAAAGTGCGGCAGCTCGCGGCAAAAGTAAATCGATGCTGGCTCCTACGCATGCTTGTTTATCTAGCACCCAAAATAATGATAATTCCGTACCTCATCTGACGTCTTCTTGCGCGAGCTTGCTTTGCGCGCTTTTGGTGCCGACTCGTCTTCTGAAAGCTGCTTGAGCACGGCGGCGATCAGCTGGATCAAGATAGTCTACGTAGAGTGAAATCAACATTCATAATGGCAGCGCTGGCACATACCTGTTGCTCGGACGTGAGGGCGGGGTCTTGCGAGTCCGAGCCGAGTAGCTTGGCCAAAAGCCGCCAGTTCTGGATCACCTCTAAAGATTGATGCGTGAGCGCGCGTATCCCATATATTCTAAACCGTACGACAATCTTCAAGGTCCCAAAAAGCCCCGACGAGGGTCTCCATCGGTCGCTCGATCTCGCCAAGGGACTCCATGTACTCGTCGGCAAACTCGATAAGTGCGATGGCTTGCGTCGTCAGCTGCGCCTCGGAGAGCTCTTTTTGACGGCTGACACCGAACGCATCGTACTGAAGACATGCAAACTCTGCCGCAGCCTTGGAAATGCGGTCATCTTGGTCGTAAAAGACAAGACGCTCGACGACCGTCAAGTCGCAATCGTCACCAAGCATGTCGAGTCTACTGAAAGCGTCAGATCCACAACAATCTGTATATCGTCTACCGATCAATCTTGGCGACCAAGTGGATCGCACGCAGGACCACATCATCGTCAACGTCGTCGCACATTTCGAGGTAGCGGCGCAAGAAGCGAGCGTTGAATGCCTCGAGCTTTGATGGCTTCGCCGACTAGATCCGCGCAATTGCATCAGCGGCGTACAAAGCGACCTGCCGTCGTACCTCGTAAATGCCTTGGAGTGCCTCGAGCACGGCGACGCGGACCTTGGCGTGCTTGTCGTTGAGCATCCAACCCAAGTACTTGAGGTAGTTGTCTTCAAGAAACACGTCCGGCATGCGCTGAATCCATGCACCGAGCGCCGCGACAGATGCGGCGCGCACTTCGGGCATAATGTCGCGGTAACGGTGTACGATAACACCCTTGAAGAGCATGTCGATGGCCGCCATGATCTTCTTGCGCTGCGTGTCGTACTTGGTCTTAGTCTCGTGCAACTTCTTGAACTTGGGTGTCTTTTTGGGTGTGTCCTTGAGCTTCTTAGCTTCGGCGGTGTACTGGCGCGCGATCGGCGCCATTTGGTCCCGCACCAAGCGCGCGCGGTCGACGAGGGCTTTGCCAATCTCGTACGCGGCCACGGTCGACGTATGACGCACGGCCCGGACTTCAGCGCTATATCCACGTGATATAACACACGGATAGTGACGGCTGTGTCAAACCTGGAAAGCGTCGTGAGCCAATCGATGCAGTTCTCAACCACGTCCGTTAACTGGAACGTCTCGCTGTCCCAGCACTCGACGACAAATTGCTCCCAGAACTCGGCAAACGACGACTTGAAGTAGCGGTACACCTAATCCAATGATTTGGATCTACTGGAACAGCGATAGGAATGATACCTTCGTCTTGGACACGATCGGGTAGTTGAGATCCTTGGAGGCCTCGAGGTCGACCACAATCGCGTCCACGAGCGCGCCCATGTCCAATTCTTCAATGTCGTCGTCGTCCTTAATCGACTTGGAGGCGGCGCCGCACGATTGCAATAGAAAGTTGAGCAGCTCGCGGCTAGCAGCTTCGGTATCACTTTCGTAGCGACTGCGCCAGCCTTGAAGCAAGTCGGGGATACTGCACGTGCCTTCTCGCACAGCTTCAAAGAGGTCTTTGTCGACTTCGTCATCCGACTCTTCCTTCTTGCGACCACCCTTGCCCTTGACGGCCTTCATTTTCGGGTTCAACGTACGTGCGTTGGGCCGCGGTGCACGATGCGGTCGAACCCTAGAATGCACATATGTAAGACGAGCAAAATACAAAAGAAAAAGGGTAGGTACGAGCTGGATTCGACCGCGGCGGCTGTTGCCATGGCTGCAATCGACGGCGACTTGTACGTTGGGGCTGGGTTGCGAGTACGCGCGCTGCGTCGCTGCGTCGACGTCTTCGTCTCTTCTTCTTCGTCGTATTCAGAGACGTCGCTCTCGTTGGCATCTTCTTCAATTGCGCTGGGCTCGGACGTCGCTTTGTTTGGCGTCGTGGATTTCGCAGGCGTCGTCGCCTTGCTGCGCCGCGTCGCACGCGCGCGTCCGGGGGTAATCTTCGCCTCCTCGGCAGGCTCGACATGTTCCGTTGCAGACTTGTCGCTGTCGCTGGGATCGTCTTGGGACACGTCCATCGCCGCCGCGTTTCGTGACGAACGTCGAGTTGCCGCCATCTTACTTGGCGTCGAAGACTTAGTAGCGCCCTTCCCCGAGCGTCCCCGAGCGCTAGACGCCGCTGGTTCTGGTGATTCGTCGTCTGTGCTCTCATCTGCCTTGCGGGACGACGTTGCCTGCTTCTTCGTGGCGCGGACTGGCGTCTCGGTCGGAGGTACATCGTCCTCGTCCGACTCCTGTGATGGCTCCTGCACCTCGGTCGCCTTTCGAGCACGCTTCACCGGCTGCTTGCGCACGTCGGGGGCTTCGGATGACGCAGCATCGTCCTCGTCCGAGGCCAGGGGCTTTCCTCGCACACGCTTGGACCCGCGGGTCACGGGCGCTTCATGCTCGGCTTCGTCATCCCCCTTCTTGGGCGCTTCCTTGCGTCCTCGACCGCCCGGCTTCGTCGTCGCTTCCTTCGCCGAAGCGGCCTTCGCCCGCGTTCCTCGGACCATCGCTGCTGCGGTCCCTCGGCAACTGAAAATGCCAAAATTAAATTCCGTGCGGTCAACCACGATTCCACCGCGAATTCAAATACCCACGGTTTAGTTTGCTACAAATGCCCATATATTTTTAAAACAACTTTGATAATTCAAAGCGCGCCAAATCCCGCTCGACGCCGAGTGCGCGAGTATTATCCGGATCCGTTAACTGGAAAAAGATCGCGTTTTTCGATCGACGGCCGAGATGCACCTTCTCGGCATGCTCCTTGCTGCGTGCATGGCCGTCCATGGCTCGAAGATGGCACCGCCGGGAATGCCACTTCATTTCGATGCAAACATTGAGATCACATGTACATGAGGCCACGGCCAAACCGCTCCTAATGACGGCCTCAAATAGCCCACCTCGTCGATCGGTCCAAGGACTACCCTCCGTGGCTTCGCCGCCTCAAGGTTCGCTACGACTTCGATAAAAAAGTAGCGCGCGCGGACATCCTCGCCGGCTACGACAAGGGCAAGACGTACATTCGGCGTTACGATACCGTGCGTACGCCCTGCCACGTCAATATAACACGCGCCAACGATAGAAGAAGGAGTACATGGTAAAGTATGGCGAGTACAAGAAGTGTGAGCGCGCGTACTTGGGTACAGCCAACTATGCAATGACCGGGTCCGCGCTATCATTCGAGTGTCCGTAGGCGAAGACATGCCACTGCCACACGTTCCTTCCGACCTCACACTGCAGGTACGAGCCATTGGGAGCAAGGCCAGTGTGGTCATTCGACTGTAAAGGGCACGAGTACAATCGATGGCGTCGACTGCCGCCTTTGGGTCTCGGAGGATAGCGACGCCAATGTCCACATCAGCATCTATGAGCGCTCGTCAGACCGCGGTGCGTACCGAGTCTTTCTGGACGGGGATTGCATCGTTCTAGTTCCGATACGCTTGATTCAAGCGAGCCGATTCGATGGCGCGTGGACTCCACTGATCACGTATGACATGCTTGACGTTACGGTGCGCCCCCAGGTGCGAAGCTCTCATGCGCTTCGACTCATGCTTCTTGGCTAGGATCTATCGGTGTTTGAGATTCCCGGGGGCTACAGCCACAGCAGCTGCACACGCAGCGTGTCCGGGTTTCCATACATCCATATCTTTGACCATTACGTTCGCTTCTAATTCACATAAAGCGACGCTCACAGATGGAGCTTTATGCGTTCGACATCTTCCGAAGCCGTCGTTGACGACGCACGATGGTAGAGGCTGTCGTCGTCGTCATTGGATTGTGGTGTGCGTTGGCCGAGACAGCACCATCTACGGAGCATGTCCGTCCAGTGCACCGACGAGCTTGAAGCTGCGCTACTACCTTGGTTCTTGGAGATCTGAACGTGATGCGTAATGGCAGCAGTGGTCGGCGTGTAGTAGACAACGTCGTAGCCCTCAAAGTGCTTGACGGTCGTCGAGCCATCCGACACCTGAACGTGGTACCCGTCTGGAAAGTGCACGAGCCGAGGCACGTAGATCTCGGTTGGTGCTTTGGTCGTCGCCTCCGTCGACTTGATGCGCAGGTGGTACTCACAGCGGTCGAGGTTGAAGCGCGATGTCAATGGCTGGCCACTGATCTTGATGGCTGACGGGCGCACGTATCCTTCCTTGGCGCGACCGCCAGCGTCGACGCCTTTGCCTTTATTTTCTTGATCACGGCTGAAGAGACTTAGATCCTATACGCCTGCATGAAAACACATGCGACACCAGCCATGCGTACCTCGAGGTTCCAATTGTCGCCCCAAACATTGTTGTTGTCCGACGTGTAGCACCAGAGCGTGTACGAGAGCAGATTTGCTTCGAGGGACGCGACAGTGTTGTCCATCGCGGCAACTTGCGCGTCAAAGTTGCCCGAAACGTATGCCTTGTTGTTGGTCAAGTTGAACGGAATGCCGCACTCGCCAATCAGCGTCGGCGCACCGCCCATGCAGCGCGACGACGTCTCGCGGATCGCCCGCAGGGCGCGGATGTGGGCGTCGCGAACGTTCTTCTTGCCAAAAATGGGCCGCTTGGTGTGCACGTCGACCGTAAAGTACGGCTTCCACGAGCGCAGAAAGAGCGTGATCGGGTCGTACCAGTGCGTCGCGTTGACGCTGCGCGGGATCGAGATTGTCGGGAACGGCGTCGAGATGAACTCGAGCGGCGGCATCTCGATAAACAAGATCATGTGCGGCATGACGGCGCGGATCGCTTCGGCATACATCTGTGGACGCATCAGATTACGTGGTAAGGAAGAGCAGCGTACGTTGGCAAAGGGGATGTAGCAGTCGACGCCAAAGTCCATGTTAGCAAAGTGCTGCGGTCGACGAAGCACGGGTCGCTGCGTGCGCGCGTCCATCTCGTAGAGCCCGAGGCGCTCCCAAATGCACGTGACGCCATCGCGCCACGCCCGCTTTCCGTGGCACTTGATGAGCTTGACCGTGTCGGGCTGGTTGAAGATGTATTGCATGAACCCTATATCGAATATACACTTGAAGCCAGCGATTCAGACGGCTTGTGGAGGTTTACCTGTGGACCACACTTCGACTTGCTGGTCAATGCCATTCGCAAGACACATGCCCTGGAAAGGCGTCGGCGCGAGGCCAAGCTTGAGCTCCGTCGCCAAAAAGTGCTGGCTGATGTCGGCGACGCCAACGTACCCCGGCGACGGCTCGTTCATGGTACCAAAGCCAATGACGTGGTCCATGCCGGCGATGACCTTGGCGACTTCAAGAATCGCGTTCACGTAGTGCGACTGCAAAAAGTCCTGCACGGGCATCCCGCGTACAAGGATACCAGGCGCGACCCTACAATACACATCGACAGGCATGAGACTCCTACTCGAGAAAAAGTAGTTTTGCGAGTACCGGTTGCCCGCCCAGAAGAGAGTAAACATTGTCGCGCTCGCAAACTTGAAGTAGTTGGTGGGCCACACCATTTTGGGAAAGTCTTCCGGGCGACCGCCGTAGGTGTCCATGCAGAACGCGCTCTTGGTCGCTGCAAAGTGCGGCGGATACAAGCCAATTTCGGTGAGCGTCCACAGCGGCGCGCCGTCCCCGCCTGTGTACCGCGACCAGACATCTTGGTGCGGGTCCATGATCACGCGCAGGTCAAACTCGCCGGCAATGAGAAGCACGTCCCGAAGGTAGCGCAGGTAGTCGTGGTCGTAGACACCAGGGCCTGCGTGCTCGATCGCCTCCCATGTGATTACGAACCGAATGCACGTGAGGCCCCAGCGCCGAAGCCGCCCAAAATGCTCCCGTGCCTCCGAGAGTGGGAACGGCCGGCCCACGAATGACAAGGCACCGTCGTCGCGGTCAAGTGGAAGCTTGGATGAGCCGCCGAGGTTCACGCCTTTGAGAAGCAGTACGCGCCCGTCCGCGTCGTAGAAATGACCGTCTCGTAGCTCGAGGTCCATGATGGATCGCAAAATGGCGACTCGTGGCAGCGGCAAGCAAATGATGACGCAATCCGCAAATTCTTTGTAATTTGCAAGACCTCGCGACATGCGATGTTTGTCTTGGCTTCAGTAGGGGACGGATCAGCTTACAATTATTTCATTTGGCCCGCGTTTACGCATGGCGATGCCTGTGGTTGATGCCCGCATGGCACGTACGCCGTCATCTCGGGTTCGTTCGTCGCCACGACTGCTGTCGCTTCCATGCACAGATGCAATCAAGTGCCGTTCAAATATCACGGTCGCTGACGGTACTCGCTACTCGTTGCGCCATCGTGTCCAACCAAGCTATTTATCGCCGGTCCTGTCCTGCTCTGGTCCACCGTCGTGTTGTCGCCCTTCAGGTTCGCTCGGTCATTGCGAAAGGCCTTGCACGGTGCATGGGGTCGATTGGGAGCTAGCCATTCGCCTCGAGCACACTTTGCAGTATCTGCGCATCAAGGTTGCAATTCGCGTCACCTGTACCGGTATATCGGCCGTCGGCTGCGAGCTTGCAAGTTCGCACACATCTGCCATCGTAGCGTCCGCGATCATGTAAATGTCTCTGTCGGCGGAGCGGAAGCATCCCGACACTTGATGCGAGCTTCCTCGCACACGTGCATGCATCTTGTTGCGCTTCGGCCGGCCATAGCTTTCCTGTACAGCTCTGGGCTCGAGATGGCCTGGCAGTCATGTGACGGTCGCTGGCGGCCATGATTGCACTTATGTAATGCCAGAGGTCGTTGACGGAATGCATCCATTTGTGGAGTATTATCCGGACAGTCATTTTTGGCCAATGAGAAACAAGGTAAATTCTGATTGGCTTGCATAGTGGAGCCAAGAGGTGTGGAATGAATGGTTGGTTGTGTCGGGGCCAGTAGGCGCGTTTGGTAGGCGCCGGTGAAATTACTCTGCCAATTCAAGAAGATAAGTAAGATGGTCAAGAACGTCCGCATCACCTACCGTCGCCGTCACTCGTACGCGACCAAGTCGAACCGCATCGTGCCGGTGAAGACGCCCGGTGGCAAGCTCATCGCCCACTACCGCAAGAAGACGTCGTCGGGCCCCAAGTGCGGTGACTGCAAGCAGTCGCTCAAGGGCATCAAGCACCTCGCCTCGAAGGCCTACAAGAACGTGTCGAAGAGCCAGCGCACGGTCTCGCGCGCCTACGGTGGTTCGCGTTGCGCCGGCTGCGTGCGCCAGCGGTACGCGACCCTGTCCTCCTGTCCTTCTGTATGCTCATCCTGGATTGTAGCATCGTCCGTGCCTTCCTTATCGAGGAGCAGAAGATCGTCAAGAAGGTTCTCCTCGAGAAGCTCTCGAAGAAGAAGGCCGAAAAGTCCGCTTAAACAATCGACTTTTGGATGATTGACTTCGGGTGGCGTGTGCTAGCTTTCTTACCTCTCGACGATGATGGTACTCAATAATAGCACGTATCTTCTTGCTTCCATGTGGACCAGGAATCGACCCCAGCTTCGTGTTTCTCGACCTCTAGGATACAACTCTGGGACGGTAGAGTGATGCGTCGTGCACTACTATTCGAAGGCTTTGTTGCGAACAGCCGAGGCAGGAGACGCGAAGCCCGTTCACTCGCAACGTATTTGCAAGGGACCCCGCCCGGGTTGATTGACAACGTTGGTAGCATTGGTAGTGATACACAAGGATCATTGTAGGTCTTCCTTAATGACTACTCGAGCTTCTCGAGCTCGCGGATGCGGTCGAGCATCTCGCGCTTGCTTGTTTCTTGGACTTCGCCGCCAAGGATATACTCATCGAGCATCGAGTAGACCTTGTTGAAGTTGAAGACGATGTCGAGCTCGCAGACGTTCTGGAACTGCTGGTCGAGGAGCTCGACAAAGAGATGGATCGTCTCGAGGCACAGGAGCTCGTTCGCGTGCAAGTCGACGCCGAGAATGAAGAAGAGGCCTGCGTAGCGTCGGTAGATGAGCTTGTACGAGCGGAACTCGATAAAGTTGGTGTGCTTGGCGTCGCGCGCGACCACGAGCCGATGAATCTCAGACTCGAGGCGCGGCTTCTCGAGGTCCGGCGGCGGTGGCACGTACCACTTGCTCAGGCGCGTCTTGCCCTGGCGGTTCTGCAAAAGGAAGAAGCGAATCTACCGAGCACGTGATTGGAACGCTAAATTGCATGCATAGCCGACCATCGTTTGGCTTGTTGCTCTGCTGCGCTACGCTCTCAAACACAAATGAAACAACTGTGGCCGCGACGCTTGGCGTGGATCTTTGCGCCCGTTTTGGATCCGAACTTGAGGTGCGCGAGCTTATGTAGCGACCACCCAGTATTTGGCGCCAAGCTTATTACACCACGTTGACCATGCTACAATGTTGTAGTGGCACGTCTCCCGAGACGGTGGATGAAATGTCAGAGAATACTGACAAGGATCAAGTACTCTTGATACCGAGCTCGTGCACTAGAGCATTGAACGTGGTAGGCATACTATGGTACCTGATGCCAGTCTCATCCCTGTCCCTCTCGGCAGTGTCGAAACCTTTGCTTCATTGTTCGGCACGCGATTCGCACCACAGCATGCTCAACGAGCTGAGAGCAATAGTCAAAGCTAAAATGCACGCAAAATCGAAATATGTGCAGTGAATGGCTTGCCTGCGCCGGCACATAAGCGTTCTCGTACGCGTCCCGGCAGTCAATTCCAAGCGACCTGTTGTCTTTCTGACGCACGTTGACTCGGTCAAGAAACCCCACTTCCACTTTGCTGTGGTGCTGTGGATTTGAATTTAATATTTTTATTTTTATTTTACAGCATGTGGAGTGGGGACCAATCAGCGGCCTCGTATAATTTTATGACTTGATATTCGTATGCTGCAACCCCCGCGTCGGAATAAAATGAGCTGGATCACCACGATGGTGGGCGTTTTGCAACTTGGCGAGCGATGGCCAAGGTACCATCACTGCTACTGCTGCTTAGCGCAACGGTCATCTGGGCGCTGCTGCTAGATGGAGGAAGAGAAGCATGATGATGTAGCTACTACGGAGGAGACGTCCCCAGAGACGGTCATCTCGTCGCCCGAGGCAAGGGAGGCCATTGTCGCGCCCGAGGACCTTGTAGAGAACCAACAGTCGAGTGCTGACGACAGCGACGAAATGGAGGACGGCGAAGTCGACGAGGGTGACGTCGATTACATCCCGGTGGCGAAAGCGCCCATTCCGGCGCCGGTCCCCGCAGCGACCAAGAAGGCAGCGACGACGCCACTTGAAACGTACACGCGGGGGTACCTCGGCATTTCGTTTGCTGCAGACTCGACCCAGCCTCCCGAGATCGTTCTCTCCCACCTCCCACTGACGACGACCGAGGTTCAACCGCGAACATGGCGGTGCTCTAACCTGCAAGCTAGAGCGACCTCCGCACGTACTTCAACGAGTTTGGCTCCGTCGCTGCTTGCTACCTCGCAGCGCCGAGCGCCACGGTGACCTTCTCCGACGCAGCAGTAGGAATCGTCGTCTTCTTCGTCATGGAGCCTTCAATGCTGGATTAGCCGCTCAATCGCATCTTTACCGCGCCCCAGCACGAGATTCTGTCGACCGTCGTGCTTGTAGCGCCCGCACCGCCGTCTCTCGACCCAGCGACGGTTAGGTATCGTAGTACTGCTCTGGTAGCCACTTTTTCATAGAGTTGTGTAGCCATCATGAGACGACGTACGCCAACAGCGGCGTCCATCTCTCAAATCTTCTGCCCACCATGACGGAGCGTACGACCAGATCTGCGTCTGGGAATACTCACATTGATTTCTGGTTAGAGACGATCAAGTCGGAAATGAGTGTGTTTGGCGTCATCAGCAACATCCACCTCGTGCTACAGCCCAAGGAAGGCAGCGTACGCAACCGATATCTGTCGGCGATGGCTAGTGACGCTGGGGTAGGAGTTCGGCTTTGGCTTTGTGACGTACCAAGAGAACCGCTCCGCTGCCTTGGCCTTGACAGCGGGGTCTCGACTGATTGATGGCCAGGAGGTCAAGATCAATACGACTCGGAAGCCGTCTCGTCCACAGAGCGAGCATCGGCAAGCGCACAATGCTCGTCAGGACTCGCACCCCTACGGTGGGCGTGGACGGGGACGAGGACGTGGCGGCCGAGGCGACTTTCAAGGGCGCGGTGGTCGCGGGGGACGCGGCGACTTTAACGGCGGCCGGGGCGGTCGCGAAGACGCTGCTAGCCGTGGTGGCCGCGGTGGCCGCGGCGGTCGTGGCGGTCGTGGCGGTCGTGGCGACTTTGCCGGTGGCCGTGGTGGTCATGGTGACTTTGGCGGCGGTCGTGGTGACTTTGGCAGTGGCCGTGGCGGTCGGGGTCGTGGCGGACGAGGCGGCCGCGGGGAGTTCGGTGGCCGAGGCACCGCGATGGATTACCATGCACCGTATCAACCTCCGTCGGCCCCGCATCCAACAGGACCGTATCAGCCTCCATACCAGGCACCAGCCGCGCCATACCAGCCCCCGACTGCTGTGCCGTACCAGGCACCATCGTATCAGAGACCGTCGTATCAACAACCACCGGCGACTGGCGGTGGCGCGTACTCGCAGGCGTACGAACCCCCGCCACCGTATGCGTCAAGTTACGACTCACATCGTGGAGCTCAAGCAAGTGGTTACAAGCAATCGCCTCTGCTGCCTCCGCCGACATCTCAAGAGTACGCACGGAGCAGTGCATCGTACAAACCAAGCTACTCGAATGACCCCCCACCGCCGTCGTCACGCTACGACGCACCGCCAACTCGGTATGACGCACCGCCAACTCGGTATGACACACCTCCGTCTCGGTACGACGCACCTCCACCACGCTACGACGCACCTCCATCGCGCTACGACGCGCCATCGTCTCGATATGACGCACCGCCGCCACGCTACGACGCGCCGTCATCTCGATATGACGCACCGCCGCCACGGTATGACGCACCGCCGCCACGGTATGATGCGCCTCCGCCGCCTGCTTACGACAATTCTGGGCGACACGACGTGGGGCCGCCGTACACTCATACAAGTTATGCATCCCCTGCCTACCCGCCGTCGTACCCGCCAAGTGGATACCACCCGCCGTCGTATCCCCACGACCCGCGCACGAGGTCGGTGCTTTCCATTTCGTCGAATCTCATTGCATTCTCGCTTCTCTTAGACCAACGTACCCCGCGCCCGCGTACGGTCCGCCGTATTGACCTCGTACGTTTCATCCTGCACCTCAGTACGCAAGGGCGGCAAAAGTAGAAGTGAAATTGTAGATTAAAAGATCTTATCGAGGACCGATGCATGATAGATAATAATGACGGGTTTAGTACGGGAGCCACTTCCACTCGGGGCTCTCGCGCGTGAGCTGCGCAACGTGCTCCTCGATCGAGCGACCAGCCGCCTTGGCGCACTTGGCCATCTTGCGCGCGTCCTTGGTCGACATGGCGCGGAGCGACTTGGGGTTGATGATGACGCCGGTCACCTTCATCTTGTCGTTGGACGAGCCAAAGGCGGCACGGGACGGATCGTCCTCGTCTTCGATGACCTTCTTGCCACCGCCGAGGCGGTACTCGGTCTCCTGGGCCTCACCCACGACGCGGACGCGACCCGACTCGACGAGCCACTTCTCCGTGCAGAGCGAGTTGTAGAACTCTTCCGAGTGCGAAATCATGATGCAACCGCCGGCAAAGCCGCGGATGCCGTCAGCGAGGGCGCCCAAGGCCGCGCGATCCAAGTAGTTGGTCGGCTCATCGAGCACGAGCAAATGCGGGCGCGTCCACATGGCGGCGGCGATGACGAGCTTGACCTTCTGGCCGCCCGAGAGACCGCGAATCTTGCCGTGGGTACCAAACTCGGCGTTCAAGTTGAAGTCGTCGAGGTGCTTCTGGACCTCCTTGGTCGTCGTCGGGCGAAGGTCCATGCCACTGGCGAGCGTCGCTTGGCGGATGTCTTCCATTTCAGCCATCTTGCCGAGGCCCATGGCTTGGAGCTCCTCGAGCGTGTAGTAGCGGTTCTTGCTTTCCGTCATGCCCCAGAGCTTGCACTCGTACTCGAGCGTACCGCGCTTGCCCTTGCGACGCGACATGATCTTCTCGATCGAGCCCTTGCCGCCCTCAGCCTTGGCGGCTTCCGACTCCTTCTTGTCGACGCGCTCGGCGAGTTCGCGATCAATGCCACCGGGGCCGCCGAAACGCCACTGGATGTACTGGACCGGCGAGCTTTCGAGGTGCTGCTCGACGTGGTGCAGCGAGTGCTGAGCGACGTACGCGATACGCAAGTTGTGGTGCTTCCAGAGCTCACCCGTGTCGGGCATCGTCTCTTGCACAATCATCTTAATGAGCGTACTCTTGCCAGCGCCGTTGCCACCAATGACGGCGACGCGCGACGCCAAGCAGAGCTTGATGTTGACGTCGACGAGCTGCGGCTTGGTAGCGCCCGGGTACGTGAAGTTGCAGTTCTCCATCGAGAGGATACGGCGCGTGGTCGAGGCAATGCCCTCGAGACGGCCCGGCTGCGGCAACACAAACTGCGTGTCCGAAGACGAGAGTTCGTAGTAGTGCTTGGCCTCCGGGTGCTTCTCGACAAACTTGGCGAGCGTACCAGGGTACAAGACGAGCTGCTTGCTCTCGTAGTGAAGCACGTCCGTGCACACGTTGTCGAGGAAGCCCGTGTCGTGCGACACCAAGAGCACCGTCATCGACTCGAGCGAGTTGAGGTAGTCGACGAGCCACTGGACCGCGTGCACGTCCAAGTGGTTCGTCGGTTCGTCGAGCAAAAGCACATCAGCGTTGTAGAGCATCGCGCGGACAAGCGCGAGCTTCATGCGCCAACCTCCCGAGAGCGCGGCGATCGGGCCGTCGAGCATTTCGCGCGTGAAGCCAATGTTGACGAGCGTCGTCTCAAAGACTTCCGGCGCGTTGTGCGCAAGCTCGGGCGCCGCCTGGAGAGACTGCAGGAGCGAGCCATTGTCCTCGACAACGTCTTCGTGCTGGACATACACCGTGCGGAGGTGCGTCGGGAGACCCTCGATCGTGTGGTTGGAGATGTTGCGCATGAGCGTCGTCTTGCCGACACCGTTCTTGCCTACGAGACCGTAGCGGTGGCCGCGCGTGAGGCGGAGGCGCGCGTTGCGGAGCAGAATCTTGCCACCGTACGCGAGCGAAAAGTCGATGTCGCACACGTCGTTCGGGTCCGTCGAGACGACGCGATCGTCGCCAAGACCGCCACCGGCCTTACGCAGCGCCTTGCACACGCGGTCGGCGTCTTCGTCGTGAAGGTGCGCCGAAAGGTACGGCAGCACAAAGCCGCGCCACTCCTTGCCACGGTTGTGCGTCACAAGCTCCGCGCACACGTCCGTGATGTACGTGAGCGTGAACTCGGTGAGGCCCGGGTGCGTCGCGATTTCGAGCGCTTCGTGGAGACCGGCGAGGAGGTTTTGCTGGAGCTGCTGGCGGATCGCGGCCGGATCTTCTTCATCCGAGCCTTCGCCGGCGGCGCGCTTGAGGCACGCACGCGCGTCCGAAGCCACTTCCGCGACTTCCTGGTCAGCGATACGCTCGATGACCGTGTCGAGCTGCGGCAAAAGCAGCGGCACAAAGGGAGCGACGTCGCTCGGGCGAGAGACGAGGCGGCACATGCTGTCAATAATACGCGAGGCCTTGCGACGGAGCGCCGACGAGTTGGTCGACGTGTCACGGAGCGCCTTGTTGAGGAGCGGCGCAATGAGCGAGAGCGTCGCGGCGTCGACGTTGGCCACGAACGTCGTCGCGAGAAGGGCGTCGATGGTCGCAAGCGTCTTCTCGGGGTGCGCAATCACATCGACGAGCGTCGGGACGAGCGGGAGCACATCGTCGTTGCCGATCGTCGAGCAGGCAGCCGTGAGCGCCGAAAGCGCGGCCTGCTGGACCTGCGTCTTGGTATCCCACACGACCTCCGAGACCTTGGGGATGACTTCCGGGAGCGAGCACGAGACTTCCGTCGGCGCACGCGGCGCAAAGTTGCGGAGGAGGTCGAGGGCAGCGACCTTGCACTGCCACTGGCGAAGCTCCAAGCAGACAAAGATCTGCGAGAGGAACGTGCGCGTCGCGAGCGGGTTCACGAGGTCGAGGAGCGAGTGCGTGAGGCGCACCGCGGCGTCGCGGACGTTGGGCTCCTTGTCGGCATGGCGCTCCATGATCGAGACGAGATCTTCGACGACAATCGGCTCGATAGCGGACGAGACAGCGTCGCAGCGACCCATGGCGGTGAACGTGAGAAGCGCACCTTCGCGCGAGTCCACGGCCTTGCTCTTGAGCGCGAGACGCGTAAAGTCGATAATGTAGTAACCATGGGCGCTGCCAATCGTGAGGAGCTCGAGCGCCTTCACAAGGTCGGCGATAGCGGCCTGGCGCTCGTTGCGCGCGACCGAGCCGGACATCGTGTGGAGCATCTTGTCGATGATGGCCTTGCGCTCGTCAATGTCTTCAACGGCAAGGAACGCAGCGCAGTCTTCCTCGTTGCCGAGGACGCGGGCGAACTCCTTCTCGGGTTCGGCCTCGCTACTAGAAGAATGCACCGACGATGGGCGCGCGCTGCCGGGCACGAAGGCCTTGACCGCCGGGTTGTACGACGGGGCGGCCGCCGAGACAGCGCTCGGCACGGGGGCCAGCGGCGCGGGGGCGGGGCGGCCAAACATGGTCGCGTTGGCCGCGGCCTTGGCGGCAAGACGTTCCTTCTGTGCTTTGCCCATCGCGTGTGATTCAACTATGGCACCCTCGGAGCAGCCCGTCGAATTCCCTTGAAAAAGTATCCTCGTCGACTATACCTGAGACAATGACGTCAAACGGTCGCTTTTTATTGCGCTCGCACGGTATCACATACAAAAACCAAGAGCATTTTAAAAAAGCAACTAGATTCATTTTCGGCCTTCTTGATTGGATTCGACGTGGATTCCCTCGCGAACCGAGCTCCACCACCAATCTGCGCGACGGGGCTTCGATTCTCACGCGCTCATTGGCTGAAATGCCACCACGTGTACTGCATTAGGTAATCTAAAAAAGGACGTCGAGAAATGAATGGCGGTCGCAACGCCCAATGATTGGGTGGCGCTTGACACGCAAAAAGATCGCGCGTGCGTTTTATACTCGGATTCGCCTGTTTAAACGCGTCGTGAATCTCAATCTCAATCGCGGATCGCGAGCTTGGAGAAGCCAAACAGACTCTCAGCGGCCTTCGACGACGACGAGGACTTGAGTATCGCTGCCATCATGTTGTCGAGGAGCTTGACGCACGTAGTACCCACGGCTGCACCATTCCGTCGCACGTGCCGCAGGAGTATCGGCAAAATGTCGACCTCGGGGATCCTTCGCTCATCGAGCATGAGACCCCATGCTCGCGCTTCTTGGGGCAGCGACACACACTGCCCGTTCTTTGTATACGAGTGCGAGCTCAAGAGCACCGTTCGGACGCGTGCACTCGTCGGCGCCGTGCGGTCCACAATGCACCTAGATGGCTCAGTCACCAATGTGCCGAGGCGTCCCAACTAGTCTTACCAGTAGAGAGATTTGCGATAAAGCGAGCGCGAGCTAGGCACGGCTTCGTCTTCCGTGATCGTTTGCCCCGCAGCGATGAACCGATCGGGTCCATAGTACTTGCGAAAGAGGAGCTTGGAGCCGTTCGAAACGGGATCGTCTCCAAACGTGGCGCACGAGTACGATATGTTGGTCCCCCGAAGCACCTACCGGTAGTGTTGGTCGAGAAACACTGGTGCGGCAGCGTACCTCGCGATCCAGCGGCACCGTGTACATGTGGCTTACGCGCTTCTCGTCGGATGTGAGGCCAGCCATGCTGACCTTGCTCACGACATGCGACTCGACGGCGGCAACGACTTGTTCAAAGCTTGCGCAGTCCACGACGCGCTGGCTGCGCCAGACGTACTGGAGGCAGTCGACGTTGGCGTCATCGATGACAAACTCATCGCGCGCGTCCGTGAACGGGTACCGCTCGAGAATCAGATCTGTGTTTTGGTACACGAGGTGTGTGAGCCAGTCAAAGCCGACGTGGCGCGACTCGGGCGACGCGAGGAGTGCAATCTTGCGAACGGCAAAGATCGGCAGCTCCATCGGGAGGATCTGGCATCCGGATGAGATCGAATGATTGCATCCGTGGGGTCGTCGTCGTACCTGAGGTGCTGTGTGCCACGTGTCCTCCATGGACCGTGCCATGAGCTTGATGAACTCGACGTACGCCGTCCGCTGCTGTTTAAGCCGGTGGTTTTCCGAGACCACAAGTTGGGTCTCGTCGTGAAGACCAACTGCGACGTCCTCCCAAGATAGCGCGGGGACGTCGGGTCGTCGTTGGGCAAGTATAGCCTCGAGATCGGCGACTTCTCGCCGCAGGCTCTCGAGCTCGGACCGCTTCTGATGCACGTAGAGCTGCTGCTTGCCACGGTTGTACTCGCGCCACCTGTTCTTCTTGTCCTGGATACGGCGCTTCTCCTTGAGCTCCATGGCCTTGCACTTCCAGTCGTCTTCGTCGCCGCCCGCATCCATGCTCCGGTTGCTGCTCTCGGCTGTCGCCCGGGCCATTTCTCGAGTAATCGGTTATCCGGACAACAAATCGTGGGATTGCCGACATGAAACGACCGCCTTTCTTGCCGCACGTTTCTTGCGTCGTCCGACCGACAGAGTAAAGTGCGTGATAGGACCAGCCATGACCGACTTGCTGCTAATACAAATACCTGTCCTCGCAGAGATTGCTCTGCGCATCGCTCTCATGTGGTTGCAGAGCTTCTCCGCCCGCAACAGCGTTGACGCCCCTTGATGCCAGACAAATGCGCGGCGAAGCGACGCGGCGTTACCTCGCGGTACCAGAGTCTGCTTGTTCCGTGCAAAAAATTGTTCTCTCGACGAGTATGCTGCTGAACGTTGAGTTCGACTTCGAACCACCACCTAATCCTGGTCCAAAGGTGTCTCGCTGCTGCACTGCGTTCGCAGAACCAACGGCGTTGGTAGTGCCCGCGTTCATGCACTCAGATCTCATTACTATCTAATGATGCACACTGCTGAGATCGTTTGATGAAATCGGTAGCGATGGCTATCATCACCAACATTTATCCAAAAAAGTCCTTTGCACTGGCGACGATGACGACGCGTGAAACCCGAGCATCCGGATAAACACATTTACCAGAAGTGTCTTCTGTCTCCATGCGAGGTGAGAAGCGCAAGCGGACGCCCACCCGCGCCGATGGCATCCATCCGCGCAACAAGTACAAGGTTCCGCCCGACTTTAAGGAGCTCTCTTCTTCGTACCCTTCGCTGCTGCCCTAGTACGCATGTCATCCTTGGTCAGCATCGGCTTATGCGTCCCATTAGCCTCGTGCCCACGGCGACCGGTAGAATGCACATGCAGTGGCACCTGCCAGACGCCTTGCGGTACGCGCATACCGTCTTCGTTCATTCCATTACGTCCATTGGATCGCATAGAGAGCTCACAAAGGCCTTGCTGCACCGAGACTTTGGGCTGACGTGGGATATGCCATCGACCAACCTCTGTCCGACGGTATGAACCATGTCCGCTCGGCATCTCAAAAGCATCTATCGACGCATAGTTGACCAACCGACTCAACTACATTCACTGGATCGAAGACCTTCTCCTGCTCTCGCGACGTATCTATGTTGGCAACGACATTATCGGCATCGACGTTGGCACAGGCGCGTCGTGCATCTATCCACTCCTCGGCCACGCATTGAACCAGTGGCGCTTTGTCGCGACCGACATTGACGCAGCATCGCTCGAGTGCGCGCGTGCCAACGTCGCCGCCAACAACCTCGAGCAGCACATTTCGCTGCGCCTTGTTGACGGAGCCGCATGTGTCCTCCCGACGCCACTGCCCCCAGCGGTTGACTTTAGCATGTGCAATCCACCCTTCTTTGACTCGATGGACGAGGCCGACACGAACCCGCGCGCCCACTGCACGGGGTCGCTGAACGAGATGACGACGCCCGGCGGCGAAGTCGCCTTCATCGAGCGCCTCATTGACGCGAGTCGAGTGCTCCAGACCCAAGGTACGCTCGTAGTGTTCGTGCTGCTGGAGCTATCAACGACGCTAGTACGCTGGTACACGTCGCTCATTGGGCGCAAAAGCTCGCTTCGTCCACTTCTTGCGGCGTTGCGCGCCGCTGGTATTCGCAATACGCGCACGACCGAGTTTTTGCAGGGGCGGACGACGCGCTGGGGCCTCGCGTGGTCGTTTACGAATGACGGCATGGACGCTGCCGACCTCGTACACTGGGCTCAGTTGCGTGGTAATAACATTATCGTGCTCATATAGGCTGCCCACAAGGTGCTTGGGAAGCGCAAGGAACGGCAGCGGCGGGATACGATGGCCTTCCACGTCGACCGTCTCGCCCCGATGCAAGGTACTCCTTCTGTTCAAGCACGTTGCGTACAAGCAGTTTCATAGAAGCTAGTCCTATCCACGGTTGCAGAATGCTATGCGATGTCCATGCCCGCATCCTCGAGAGTCCTGGCCATGTGCTCCAGGTACGACACGGAGCAGTGGCGGGATTCCGGTTCGACAATGAGTGCGCATGATGTAGGGGTGCTTGGCTGTGGACCCCATGGGCGAAAGCACTGAGGCGAAGAGCGACTACACGCTCACGTACGAACGCGACGGAGCGGTCGAGTGGGTCGCTCAAGCGAGCGTTGTGGCCATGGACACAACCTTTGACGTGACGCTGACGTGGCGCGACGGGAAGAGAGATCTTTTCTGGCAGATCGCCGACCAGTGGAAAGGCGCGATCGTGCGTACCGGCCGCACGTGGCGGAAGCGCCACCAGGGCTTCTACGTGGATGCGACCGGCGCCTCCCAAGTATAAAGTTCGCGAGGTTAACGTGCGATTGAGTTTCACGTTTTTGAGTTTAAAGTTGACAGCCAACGGCTGCGCACCAATCAACAGAGCGCGTGCCCGCCAATCTCGTTTAGAGTTGAGAAACATGTCGGCCCGCGTGACCAAGCAAATCCTGCGCGCGACCGTGCTCGTCGACGAGCCGTCCAAGACGAAGGGCAAGGCCGCTGACGGCAGCAAGGTCAAGTCCAAGTCGGGTGTTGCGGCAAAGACCAAGCCGCTCAAGAAGCGCCGGCAGTTCCTCGACGAGGCTCGCATCGAGCGCAGCAAGTCGGACAACACGGCCAAGAACATAGCCGTGCTCACAAAGCTGACCAAGACGCCCAAGGCACAGGATCTCATGAAGAAGGTAGATGCTCCTACGACTGACTCGACACTCATACCTCCTGTCTCGTGTAGATCCTCAAGCAAACGCAGCGCTTTTAGACGCGACGCTGCTTCCACCTCGTGTACTACCCTATTTTAATCGCCATCGTAATCCACCGCTCCTCTTGCGCGCCCTTCGTGTTTTTGCGGCCATTTGCCGCATAGCTATGCAGCATCAAGCGTTGATCCGTTAGACACGATCGATCGTTGGCCGTCGTCGTCCACTGCTTGCACCTGCAGGCAACGGCGACGCGTGGCGTCACGTCAACACGACGTTGTAGTTGGCTCAACAAGTGTGGTGTACGTTTGTGTGTATTACGAGAGGGACAAGCAAGAGCTCGGTCGGTCGCGGGCGTTCTTAGTTGCTAGCGATCGCAACGTTCATAAGCCATCGCGCGGTTTGCATTCAGTGTAGTACCTTTCGTCCTTGGGCTTGACGACCGTCGCCTTGATGCCGCTTTCGTGCACGTTGACCTTGACGGTATCCAAGCCGTCAAAGTCGTCCTACGCAGCGTTACATCGGACCTGTATGGGCATGGCCTACCTTGGACATCTGCGAGACCGTGTACGAGAAGACAGAGATGGCAAACGTGCTGAGCGCACCGGCGAGGATCAAGTTCTTCTTCAGCACCGAGTTCATGGCGGCCACGGATTCAATACAATGCACCGTCGGCCGCGCAGCCTGCATTGTCCGGATACATCCGGATAGACCGTGCACGAAGTCCACGCTGCGATCCCTCGGTTTAGAGACAGTATCCAAAAGACATGCGCCGCGGCACCTCTACGTGGAAAGGGACATGTCTTTAAAGACAGGGGACTCCGGATAACAGAGCTTTACGCTGTTGCTGTATCCGGATGATAAGCGTCTATACAAAAGGCGAGACAACATGTTTTTGCATCGCTGCTTACGACCTCGTTTGATTGGATGGAATCATAGCTGAGCCATTACGTGCTTTGAGTCACTTCCACATTTGCCTCCCGTCAACATGCTGGCGCTCACGGACCTCTTCGCCGAGCACGCGAAGCTGCTCGCGGCCTTTGGCCTCTTCCTCCTCGTGGCCATCTACCTCTCGCTGCCCAAGAAGACCAACGGCAAGCTCCCGCCCGTGCTCAACTACATGATTCCGATCCTCGGGTCGTTCCCGGCATTCGCCAAGGACCCGATCCAGATGGTCCTTGACGGCTACAAGGAGGTTCGCCCCTCCTCACTGATCCTCGCTCATGCTCATGACGTGTTTATGATGAGTAGAAGGGCTCGTGCTTCACGGCCAAGATGTTTGGCCAGGACTTGACGTTCCTCATTGGCCCCAAGGCCCACGAGTCGTTTTACAAGCCCAACGACGACTACTTGAGCCAGAGCGAGGTGTACCAGCTCATGACGCCCGTCTTCGGCCCTGGTCTTGTCTACGATGCGACGCCCAAGCGCCGTGCGCAACAGATGCAGTTCATGGCCAACGGCCTTCGCACATCGCGCTTGAAGACGTACGTCGAGAAGATCCGAATGGAAACCGAGCTCTACTTCAAGGCCTTCCCGAAGGAGTCGACCGTGAGCCTCAAGAAGATCTTTTCGGAAGTCACGATCTTGACGGCGGCCCGCGCGCTTCTCGGCGACGAAGTTCGCGAGAACCTCTTCAAGGAAGTCTCTTCGCTCTATTGCGACCTCGATGGCGGTACCACGCCGCTCAGCTTCTTCTTCCCGTATCTCCCGATCCCGATGCACCGTCGTCGTGATGCCGCTCGCCAAAAGATGTCGGAGCTCTTCGCCGGCGTCATCAAGCAGCGCCGTGAGTCGGGCAAGCGCGTACGTCATCTTGATTCTTGTGATGTTCCCCTCACGCTTCAATCTGCAGGCGGACGATATCCTCGACACGTTCATGAACTCCGAGTACAAGGACACGCCGGGCGTCCCGATCCCGAACGAGCACATCGTTGGTCTCCTCATTGCGCTTCTCTTTGCGGGTCAGCACACGAGCTCGCTCACGGTCACGTGGGCTGTCATTGAGCTCGTGCTCCAGACGCCCGAGATGATCCCCAAGATCCTCAAGGAGCAAGAGGAGGTCCTCGGCGAAGGCGGCAGCGACAACCTCAACTTTGACACGGTCAACAACATGCCGATTTTGCACGCGTGCATCAAGGAGACGCTGCGCTTGACGCCGCCGCTCATCTTCCTCATGCGCAAGGTCATGAAGGACATTACGTGCAACGAGTACACGATCCCGGCCGGCCACATTGTGTTCTCGTCGCCCGCCGCCGCGTGCCGCCTCCCCGAGTACTGGGCCGAACCCGACAAGTACGACCCAATGCGCTTCCTCGACGGCCGCAACGAGGAGGACCGCCAGCCGTACACTAACGTGAGCTTTGGCGGTGGCATGCACGGCTGCATGGGCCAGCAGTACGCGTACATCCAGGTCAAGATCGTCCTCAGCATCTTCTTCCGCCACTTCAAGGTCGAAATGCTCGACAAGACGTTCCCGAAGCAGGACTACACGTGCCTCGTCGTGCCACCGGTCGGCGAGACGCTCGCCAAGCTCACGCGCGTCGACTAGATGCGTTACGAGGCAGCTTTATTTTTGAGTTAAGATACATAAACGATTTTGTCATACAGTCACGACACGCTGTTGCCGCTTACGTCGAGAGCGTCGCGCGGGCGCCCTTCTTGGCCACATGAATGTGCGCAGCCGCCTTGGGCGGCGACTTGATCGCGGCGGTCGTCGCAATTGGCGCCGCCTTGGTCGGGGTCGCCTTGGCCGCCGGCTTTGGCGTCGCCTTGATCGGTGTCGCCTTGGCCGTGTGCTTTGGCGACGGCGTCGCCTTGACCGGGGTGGCAGCTTCGCGCAGCGCCTTGCCGAGGGACTTGAGAATTTGCGCGTTCTTTTCCGCCGAGCGTGGCGGCGACGGCGACGCTTGCTTGGCCGGACGCGTCCACACGGTCTTGGTCGGCGGCGCGCGGCCCGGCGGGTAGTACTCCTGGGCGAGGTAGTTGGTGCCGCTCGACGAGCGGGCGCGGGCCGTCGCATCGTGGAGGCGCGCACACGTGCAGCCGCTCGCCTTGTGCGACGACACGTGGCAGACAAGGCCACTGCTGGTCGCCGCCGCCGCGTGCTCCTTCTTCTTCTCCTGATGGAGCGTGCGGCGCGACTTGACGGCCTCGAAGCCGTCGTTGTCCAGTTTCTGCGCCGCCGCATCGCTGGCCAAAGGCATAACGACAACGGTGCCGCCACCGTTCGAGACGTTAAGACCGACCTTGTGCTGCGTGGCCGACGGGCGCTTCGTCAACACCGCCTTGGCCTTCACCGGCGCCTCATCACCACTCATGATAGAGAGGATTTCGTGAAGCTCGTTGTAGTTGACCGACGCCTTGCGAGCCTTCTTCGCCGCCTTGCGCTTGGCCTTGAAGTCGCGGGGCAATTCGTCGCCGTCACTGAAGATGGCCAGAATCTCTTCCTGCTCCTGGCGCTGGGCTTTGGTAAGTGGCTTGACCTTTGGCTTGGATGCGGTGAGTGTCGCGGCCTGGCGGTTGGTGGGCGACACCACGACACGCTTGACTTGGGTCTGGTTCTTGCGCGGGGCCGTCTTCTTCGCCTTCCGGTCGCGGGGAAGCTCGTCGCCGTCGCTAAAGATCGCCAAGATCTCCAACTGCTCTTGTTGCTGCGCCTTCGAGAGCTTCTGCTGCGGCTGCTTCTTGACCGAGATGCGAGGAGACAAAGCGGCCTTCTTCAATGTCGCCGAAGCCGGGCGAGGCGAAACGACATTCTGCTTGGCAGGTTGCTTGCGGCTGCCGGCCTTGTTGGCCTTACGGTCGCGCGGAAGCTCGTCCCCGTCACTGAAGATGGCCAAGATCTCCGCCTGCTCCTGCTGCTGAGCTTTTGACAGCTTCTGCTGCTTCTTCGGGGCGGTGCGAGGCGAACTGATGGACTGCTTGGAAGACTGGCTGCCGCGGGGCGAAGCCACCGATTGCTTGCGCGGCGCCGCCTTCTTGGCCTTACGGTCGCGCGGAAGATCTTCACCGTCACTGAAGATGGCAAGGATCTCCGCCTGCTCCTGCTGCTGAGCCTTGGAGAGCTTCTGCTGCTTCTTCGGGGCGGTGCGAGGCGAACTGACGGACTGCTTGGAAGACTGGCTGCCGCGGGGCGAAGCCACCGATTGCTTGGCAGGTTGCTTGCGCGGCGCCGCCTTCTTGGCCTTGCGGTCGCGCGGAAGCTCTTCACCGTCACTGAAGATTGCGAGAATCTCAGCCTGCTCCTGCTGCTGAGACTTGGAGAGCTTTTGCTGCTTCTGCTTTTGAGCGCGCGGTGACGTGGTCGACAGGTTGGCGGGAGCTGAGGCTTTGCGTCCTCGGGTCGCTTGCT